GTTCAGGATTAATCGAACAGGCCGCCACAGTCAAGATGCCACAATGTTGGACTTAGCCTACACTGTATCTAAAATTAAAAGCAAGAATTCTCTTTTGAAATAAGATATATACAAATAGAAAAAAAATTTTAAAAACTTATCTGTGATCATCACCCTTCCTTGTACTCCAAATGCGTGCTGAATTTTAATGTTCATTTTAAAGAGGAAATTATGACCCTCAACCCCAAGATCAAAGTATCATTTCTGAAAATCAGATTGAATCTTAGATTAGAAACTGCTGCAGACATCTTCCACAAAAGTTTTTTTAAATCATTTGTCATAGTTTTAAAAGATTACAAGATGAATTCATCTTTGATTAGTCAATCTGAATCCTCAAGTGAATAAAGAACCAATTGGCTTAGTTTTCTGATCAATAAGATGATTTTCAGTGAGCACCCAACACCAACAATCTTGTCCCATAGGAAAAATGATTTATAAGCATGTCAAATGGAGATTTTATTTTATCCTGCCTTCAGATGTCAACGAAAGACTTCGCAGCTCTCCCCAGGGAGCAAGGAGGCGAAACAGTAGGAGGCCTTCAGAGGTCAACCTTGAAAGCAGGAAACACTCAGCTTTGACCTGGTCTATTGAAATCAATATGGCATGGCATAGAGAAAGGAACCAGATGGCAGAGTACACTTACATCAATATTTTTCTTTATTACAGAATTCGCATTAAATTTTGTTAAAGGAAAAGTGGATTCAATTGACCATGAGAGATACAAAAGGCATATGCCATGAATCATATCTTAAATGAATTTTAATCATCACTATAGGATTTGCAGTAGAGGCTTATTTTTCTTTGAACAAACTTATCTTTTTATTTCTATTCTTTGTTATATAGAAAAATACAGTATAAGGCATTAAAAAAGAGAAACATAACCTGTATTCCCACCATCAGATGATGCCATCATTAACACTGTAGCATATTTGATCACAATAGTTTCTTTATGCATTTTATATCATTGTGAACTCTGCTTTTTCCACTTACACTAGAGTAAAATAATTTTCTGTTATTACCTTTCTCTTTCTAATAGGAGTTCCTATTATCATCATTTTGGGAGGTTAAGGCTTTTCTAAACCCCAGAGCTCATAAGCAATGGAGCTGAGACTCTAACCCTAACCTACCTACCTCCAAAGACCATACCCTTCCACTATGTCAAACTACCTTAAAAATAGTTATTCTTTTGGGAGGCCGAGACGGGCGGATCACGAGGTCAGGAGATCGAGACCATCCTGGCTAACACAGTGAAATCCTGTCTCTACTAAAAAAATACAAAAGACTAGCCGGGCGAGGTGGCGGGTGCCTGTAGTCCCAGCTACTGGGGAGGCTGAGGCAGGAGAATGGCGTGAACCCGGGAGGCGGAGCTTGCAGTGAGCTGAGATCCGGCCACTGCACTCCAGCCTGGGCGACAAAGCGAGACTCCGTCTCAAAAAAAAAAAAAAAAAAAAAAAAAGTTATTCCTTTTGGCTCAGTAAGTCACCTTTTGGGGAATCTGTATGGAATCTGAAATGTATGAGATGAGTCTGGGACATCTTGAAATGCAAGAAAGCAAGAAGCTACTAAAGACTAAATAGGTCACGTCAAAAGGAAACCAACTTGAAAAACGATCCCAAAATGACACAATGCGACTACCCAAAAGAATCATAATCACTCTCAGTTAAATCATTAAACATAAAAATCAATGAGTTCATAATGATACTTTTTAAAAACTTACTTATAAGAGCACCAACTCATTACTCTGAAAATTGATAAATACATAGAAAGAATCAAGAATTTATCCTGTCTTTCTTGTACAAACTGTAACTCAGGGCTGCCAAATACTTGATAAGGATAAGTCTTTATAGAATAATTATGGGTAACTAGTGCAGAAAGAAGGACAGATTAAGAAAATTGTCATTTCAATCCATCATGAAACCCTGGATCTGGCAATGGTCATCAGTGAATGTTAAAATCACAGGTGAAATACTTACGGGCAACTTTTAGAGGATGGAGCATCGTGACATCACCAGGACTGATTCCTGGCATTACCAAAAGTGGAGCAAACGGACGTCACCAGTTCATGGTCTGATTCCACAGGAAGTACATAGCATCAGAAATATTATAATCTAAAAAGCATTTTAACCTTAATCAATTTAAGACTCAAACCTAACTATCAGTTTATAGGAAATAGAAAAAACAGAGGAACAAGTTAAAAACATCACAGAGAAACAATTATGCAAATCTAGAATGTAGATCTAAAGGATAATCTGATTTTTCTAACAAATTCAATGGCATGAAAACAATTGAGGAGCAAGGAGGAGGGACGATGTAGACTGAAATAGCTAAGAGATACTATTATTAATATTATTCGAATAGGCCAACCGTAAAAGAACAACTTTAAGACAATTAAAGACATTTGAATATGAATTGGTATTAGAATATTTGGGGTATTTTTGTTATTTGGTATGATAATACCTAGGTGGTTATTTTTTTAAGTCTTGCTGCTTAAATGCATATAAAGAATTTACAAAGAAAATAATATGATATCTAGTATTTGCTTCAAATATTCCAGGAAAAAAAAGTGTGTGTGTGTGTGTGTGTGTGTATGTGTGTGTGTGTGTGTGTTTGTATGTGGTGGGAGGGAGAGAGGAGGCAGAGATGAGTAGATGAAACAAGAGTTGCAAATTGTTGACAGCTGTTGAAGCTGAGAGATGAGACCATGAAGGTTCATTATCCTATTCTCTCTACTTTCTGTATGTTTGGAACATTCCATAATAATAATAATAATAACCACCCTAAAAAGTGATGCATATGAGTACATCAAAACCTATAGAAAAGAAATTCCATATATGCCAGGACTAGAAAGATATGGAAGAAATAACTATAAAAAGATCTGTGAGAAAATCCTACTCCATATATTATGTGCTGATTTCTGATCTGCATTTGAAATGGAATCACTCCAGTATTATCTGATTAGTTTTGAAATTGGTGATTAAAATAAAAGACTGATCATCTTCTACATTTTTTGGCACCTTACACCATCACCAATTTAAGTGTTAATAGAAGGAGCATGAAAACTATCAATCTAAGAAATTCAGAATGAAGAGGTCTGTGATATGCTCAGTGAACTTCTTTGTTGTGGCAATGAAATAATTTGGAGATGGAAAGAGAACATAAATTCTGCAGAACAATTTTCTGCGCTCCTCTTTAAACACTTTAAGGTGCTGATTTGGTTTTTTGAAAACTTGAAGCTTTGGATCACAAAACAAAGCAAAATTAATTGTCAGTGAAAGGAAGAAAAGATCACTTGTAGTGACACTTCTTTTCCAGGGATACGGTTAAGCAAACTAATAGCGTTCAGAGGGTAAAAATAAGTCCATTCACTAATGCCCACACACATTCCATATAATGACAGATGGAGATCTAATTTTAAAAACATACTACATTGTAAAAATACTTTGGGAACATCTAACTAAACAGTGGATTAAAACTTGATTAAAAATAAATGATTGAAACGCCAAAAGCTCATTAAAGGGAAGATGCTATGTGGAGTTGACTCCCCAAAGAAACAAAGCCCTTCGTGTCCAGTAAAATATGTTCAGCTGAATGAAACTACTGAATCTTTTAATTTTCAGTTTGTGAGGGAAAAATTATTTGCACTTAATCACTGGTTTGTTTTTAACCCCATAATTATAACAATTAGGAAAATAGAGGCATTTATAAGATGCTTAAAGCAGGTCACACTCTCAGGATAGGTTCCCAGGAGTCAGACTCTGAGATGGAGAGTTACATGCAGGAGCTGTAATGGGGAATGTTCTCAGAAACATCACCTGGGAGGGGTGAGGGAAGCAGGATTGGGCACACGGAGAAGTAGAACTGTGATGCGGTTGCAAGAGGCTATGGCAGATACCAAGAAAAGACCAAGCAGAAAGGCCCTTCAGAGCTTTCATAATCTAGGCAAGGGGGCGAGGCCCTTGTATTCTCACATAAATCCAATACCCACAGAAATGGGTATTGGAAAAAGTAGCTCCTTTTGGCCAAGAGTCAATCGCCAGAGGGACTCACGGATGAGTACTTTTGCAGGAGTAAGAAACCAACTCTTCTGACTGCTTAGAAATGAAAGTTTTGATCCTGAAGGAGACATGTGGGGAGTATCTCCCCTCGAATTGCAGCCCCTACCTTTAGCCTCCCTCCTTCATGTAGTAACTTCATCCCCTCTGAGAATAGCTCCATAGGATTCTCAATGATCTATTTTTCTTTGGAAACTGGTAAGAGGAAGGTTATTGGGACAAATCTCAGCCCCTTTCAGTGACTACATCTGGTGTCATGGTCTCCCTCCTCTACTATCACACTTTTAAACAGCACTGCTGTAGTCTGGGTGGCTTACCTGGTGGGATAACCAGATTTTCATCCCAGGGGACCCTGAGCCCTGCGTCACCATGCTTGGTGGCATAACCAAGTTCCACCCATGGCTACTGTACTTGCTAATTTACCATGAAGATCTGGCAAGGGGGTACCAAGAGACAACCTAATGAGTCACCTGGGTGGCTGTGATCACAACTGGACAGCGGCTGGAGCTTAAAGTGTAATGGAATTCTTGCTGTGTTCCCTGGTAGAAGCATTCTCTCCTTGGAGATAAGGACCCAGGAGAGACTAAATGTGCGAGGCAAGCAAGCACAAATTCCTCAAGCCGATCATTGGGAGTAATGGTAGCGGAGCCAGACCTACTTCCAATCACTGTTTTCTTATTGTTTTCTTTTCTCGCTCTGCCACATGGCTGGAGTGCAGTGGCACAATCTTGGCTCACTGCAACCTCCATCTCCCAGTTCAATTGATTCTCTGCCTCAGCCTCCCGAGTAGCTGGGACTACAGGAACACTCCACCATGCCTGGCTAATTTTTGTATTTTTTGTAGAGACAGGGTTTCACCATGTTGGCCAGGTTAGTCTCAAACTCCTGGCATCAAGAGATCCACCCATCTTGGCCTCCCAAAGTGCTGGGATTACAGGCATGAGCCACACCAGGCCCCAATCATTGTTTCCTGAGGCCATCAATCCCACCTACTGGAAACATAGCACTATATAATGGACATTGGCTCAATGCTACCCTGTCCTTACAACACATCATCTGCAGGCTAGCACTTTAGCTGTGCTTAAAAAACTAAAAAACTAAAAAAACTCTAGTAGATAGGCAGTTTCTGGATGGTGTTATGGGATGAGACCAGTAGATCCTATCATCATATGTCCATTGTTGTTCTTCCTTTGCTATAAAATGGGGCCAGTGGTCCACAGTCACGTAATGCAGGATTCCAAGTCAGTTTATCTTATAATCTGCAAGCCTGCAGGGGTCATGCTGCCTGGGTCCCTGTTGGTAGGAAAGGTAAAGCCATCTCTGGAATATGTGTCAATACCAGTCAAAATCAATTACTGACATTTCCAGATTAAAAGGGATCCGATATAATCAAGTTGCTAACAAGTGGTTGGTTAGTCCTCTGGGGACTGTGTTTGTTGAAGAGCTCAGTGTTGGTTTCTGTTGCTGGAAGCTTGGACATTGGGTAGTGGTAACAGATATATTAAGTAATCACTTGACTTCCTGGAGATCCGCTGTCAATTATTAGGACCCCTGGTTCTGAAGGGGGACAGAATGATAATTAAATGGGGACATGATGGGGACCACTTGTAGTGTTGAGCATGTTTAGAGTGCCAGATTTCTTGGCCGTTTCCCTGGATGTCATATTGTTTTTATTTCTTCTCTTGGCCATGGTAAGAAAGTTTCAGAGGCTTCTATGTAGCCCTCTTCACTACAGACCATACTGGTTGGCCCTACAAACCGAGGAACTAATGAGAAGATTCTGCTGACTACTATGGATTTCAATTATACATCCAGAGACTGAAGAAATGACCAGGTGGATCCACGGAGCCAAAGAATCCCTTGTGAAATCGACTGGGTCTGGACTTATTTCTCACTCTTCATAAGTTCCCACTTCAGCAAGGGGCCTGGATGAAACAAAACTTCCTGAAGATCAGTGGAGTTTGGACCATGCCCAAGAGTCCTGGAAATATCTAGGATTGCCCTTTTTCCCATTGAACAGTTAACCAAGTAACACAGATCCCTTCAAGTAAAGACTGGGGGAATTGTTATCATATGCACTTACCATAGTATAGCAGGCTCCCTCCTCAAACCAACTTCTCTAGTCAACAGGTTCTGGGTCAAAGGACAGTCTCGGATCTGGAAATTGGCCATGACTCTTCAGTGAAGTGTTAGCATTATTCTTATGTGCCCCTGTATCTTACCCTTAATAACACTGTGGTCTAGTAACCATCTCCATAGCTCTCTATGGGTAAGGACTCCTGGCTGCCACTCCAACCTTTCCATTTATGATAATAATTGCATCCTTCTTGGTCTGCTACCTATGGTCTGCCACCTGGCCTCTACCAATCTGGGATCTTACCATCCCCATTGCTTTTAGAGATCCCAGTTCTATAGAACCCCAGCACAGTCTACAGTATCAGCCCTCCCCTAGAGGGGATAGCCACCATTGAGTTTCTCATTGACACATTGCCCCTTGGAAATACGTTCCAAGGCCACCCCACAGGTGGATGCCGGAAACTGTGAATAGTACCAAGCCCCATACACATGATGTTTTTTCCTATACATGCACTGTGGCACTTTTGCAGTTTGAGTATAACCACAAAACTAGCGTAAATTTATTTGTCCTTCTTCACAATTTTACAGGTAAAAAATTTGTTCTTACCATGGATCTTTGCAACCTCAGCATACAATTTTTTTTTTCCTTAAGAACTTTCACCTTTTCACTTAAAGGAAGCACTTTATGGCTTCCCTTTGGCATATTTGAATTGCCAGTATCACCCCTCTTGTGCTTTGGGGCATTAGGTAAAATGGGGGTGCCTTGAACACGAGCACTGTGATACTTGGATGGTCAATCTGATCACCGAGATGGTGAAGTGGCTAACTGGAAGGAAGTGTAGACAGTGTGTATCCACTGGATAAAAGGACAGTTCAAATCCTGCGGGGGACAGTGCAAGACTCCATCACACTACTCAGAACAATGTGCAATTTAAATCTTATGAATTGTTTCTTTCTGGAATCTTCTATTTAATATTTTCAGCCCACAGTTGACTGTGGGTAAACAAACTGTGGAAAGCAAAACCATGGATAGGGAGAACCAGTGTACAGCTGTCCTTCAGCATCCATATAGGATTGGTTCCAGAACCTTCCTTGGATACCAAAATCTGTAGATACTCAAGTCTGTGATATAAAATAGCCTAGGATTTGCATATAACCTACACACACCCTCCCCTACACTTTAAATCACCTCTAGATTACTTATAATACCTAATACCATGTGAATGCTATGTAAATAGTCACTATACTGTATTGACTACGGAATCACGACAAGGAGGAAAAAAATGTATGTACGTGTTCAGTATGGGATGCCACTTTTTTCCCAAATACTGAATATTTTCAGTCCGAGGTTGGTTGAACCCACAGATACAGAGAGCTGACTGCATATCCACCATAGCATTCCTGCTTCTCTGAGCCTTTTGATCTCTTTCTTCATCGTCTGCTAAGGCATTTCTCACATATCTCCTCCATATAGTTGATCACTGCATTTCTAAGAAAGAAAAGAGTCAACAAAGAGACCCCAAGAGTCAACCAAGCAGAGTGCTAAATTCTCTATCTCAGGGGAGTGCTCCCATGTAGATAGAGTTTCCAGTATCCAACTATATATTGCATCCTTCTTAACCGAGGCCCTTCAGGATTCATCCCATATATATTCTTCCACTCCTGCTAGTACTTGCTGACTCAGTGTTGTATCTGCTTTGGTGTCTATTTTTTCCTTCCTTATCATAATCAGCACTTCTCCTGTCAAGTTTCATTGTACTTGACTCTAGTTCAGGGGTCAGCAAACTTTACCTGTAAAGAACCCGATCATAAACATTTTAGGTTTTGTGGGCCATATGGACTTCGTCATGACTACTCAATTCTCCCATTGTAGCAGGAAGGCAGCCATAGGCAATGTGTCATTGAATGGATATGGTTGTATTCCACCAAAACTTTATTTACCAAAATAGACTGCAGGCTGGATTTGGCCAGGAGAATGCAGTTGCTGATCCCCATTCTGTTTACTGGCCTAGTGTCCAGGAATGGAGTTAGGATCAACCCTGAGTTAAGAACATGCTGCAAGAAATGTTTCTTGCATCTTGCAAGAAAAACCTCCTGCACTGTCTTCAAGCAACGGTAGCACTAGCTTTTAATAGGGAGCAGTGAGCCCAGAGGGTTCAGGGGAATCTGAGGATTTGAGATTTTTGGTGCAGAAACACATATATCCTTATTCCAAGTCTCGGCATCTCACTCGTTCCCAGTCAGGGTCCTGACCTTGATATAGCACACTTGCTGGGGGTGAAAAATTTAACCTTCTCTGGAGCCCTCCTGGCCTTATAATTAAGTTCTAGGCTTGATCCTGGCTTTTTTCTACTTCTGGCTGCCGGAGATGAGAATCTCTTTATAAACTGCCATAGGCCCTCTGGCTTTCACACTTAGCCTTAAATTGGTGATTAATCATTGTATCCTTTCATCCGCTTTCTCTAATTCCTTTTATAGCACTCAGAAACAGCCATCCAGTTCTACTGTACTTATAATCACTTCCCCTGAACCCCTAGACACCTCAGATACTAGACCTACCAATGCATTGCCTTCCAGCCGGTACACCACAGTGAAGGTTGCAGCAATTGCAAAGTTACAGCCTGCCAGGGGCTGTAGGTAATCCACCCACCCACCCCTAGTGAGGGTGTCCTCCCTGGTGGCCAGTCAGCTGGTGACCCAGCTCCACATTCCATTTTAGAGTCTCCTTCCTCGGACCATTCCTAGCACCAGTGGTTTTAAGTATGCTTACCTGAGAAACAGGGTCTGAGGTGGAGATTTACATGCAGGACTCTTACTGGGGCGTGCTTTTAGGATCAATACCTATAAGGAAGTAAGAGAAAAAGGATTCCATAGAGGGAGAAATTGAATTATGACTCAGTTGCAATAAAGGCCTTCAGCAATTCCCATGGATTGCTGTCAGAGTCGTCTAGACAAGGCCAGGGGCCGGCCAGCCACAGGATGCGTGCTGCCCCCCAAAACCCCAACGGCAGAAGGGGTAGGGCCTTGGGCAGGGCAGCTCTCTTCTGCTAAGGGAGGGATTCCCAAAGACAGACTCATCTGTGAGAAAACAAAAGCCAGCACTCCTGGCAGCTGGGCGAATGAGTGCCTGAGTCCTGGAGGGGAGGTGGGGGCTGCACACCACCACATCCACTACCAGCACGTGCAGTGAGTTCATGTCCACAGTAAGCGCGTCAGATAGGCGTCCATGAGCCCAGCTTTACTGTCACACCCTAGTTTCCAGGAATCCTGGGAAAAGCCCTGGGTTCAACTAATTGTTGCAATTGTAATTGCGGTTCCTGAAGGAATTCTAGATGATAAAGGCAATAAAGTAGCAGTGATTTATTGTATATAGAAACTTTAAAACCCACTTTTGGAGGGTAAAATAACAAGAAAGAGGAAGGAAAGAATAAAGGAAGGAAGGAAGAAGGAAAAGAAGGAAGGAAGAAGGGAAGGGGAGAGGAGGGGAGGGGAAAGGAGAAAAATCAAGTCGTCTCAACTCACTAGAGCAGCCATATCTACTTAACTGGATACAGGTATTATAAAAAGTTATTTTTCTACTTCCCTGCCTTTTAACAAACAACATTTTCTGCTTTTTGGCTGGGAAGAGGACATTTGAAGTACCATGAAGCCAAGTTTGTGACAGTGACAAACTTAAAGAGGTTACAATTTTGAAATATGTATTTAAGTTGAAATCCACAAAATACCTATTAATGTGTGTGACATGTATAGATGTCCAAATAAATGTAATTTATTTCCTATAAAGTCAGAATAATTGTGTAAGTAGATTCAGAAAACATCATTTTAAATTATTTTGTCATTGAAGCTGCAAATTATTATAAAATCCCACAGAAATTGATAGTTGAAATGATTTTGAAATTCTCAAGTATTCTCGTAATACTTGCATAATTCAAAATTCTGATGAGTTCCTCAGAAGTTTGTTTCCAAGTACCTGTAATCTTTTCATGTTGTTCAACATTAATTCATAGCCAGGACTTATCTTCAGGCAACTTTAGGGCTTGTTTCTCTGTGATTATAAACATGAAAACAATCAGTTGGGGCTCTTTTAGGCAGATTTTGAAATGTTTTCATTTGTTCAATTTCTATTATTGGTATCCAAAATATATCATCTCACCTTACATTTATTCTTCAGGAAATTAGGTTCATGACTAGGTGGATTTTCAACAAGTTTAATATAAACTTTCTGTACCCTCGTTCAGATATTTGTTGATGCTATTGGGTTCATCTTGAAACACACACACACACACACACACACACACACAGTCCACATGTCTAACTCCTCCTCCCTCCCTTTTCAAACAAAATGAACATTAGGACTTTAAATTGCAGGCAACAGCCATAATCAGAAAGCCAGAGGCCACTGCTCCAACCCTGGGGTCCTCTAAAGTTGATTGCAAGGCAAACACTTGTGGCAAAGATCTCTCCAGATCCTTAGATGTCTGCTTCTTGCTCATGGAGTTGAAAGGATGAAAGGAAAGGGCGTGGGCACAATCCCTAGCTTGGTGCTGGCACAGAAGCTCAATAAGGTCCACAATCCCTCATCTACAGTCCCAAATCCCAGAGTTCTGATCACTGAAATATTTTTTGTAAATCTTTTGGCATCAAAACCTGGCCAGACAGAAGGCTATTTCTAGGTCTTGGTATGAGTGAAATATATCCCTCTCTAGAAGTATAAATGTGTTTGATTATCAGATGGTCCTCCAAGTCTTAAGGAGGTCTGACATTATCTACAGTATATGCACCCCAATAAATTCCTAAAAGTCCAAACATCTGAGTCTCTAAACACCTGGCTTGAAAGGCTTCCAGCTGAGAGTTTGTGGATCCGTCCTTGGTAGCTCTTTTCTCCTTCCGTTTTTGCTGGTCGTGGTCCCTCTCCTTCCTCCCTGGCCGTCGTTAGTCTATCTGAAATAAAAGCTACACTTGGTCAGACATCCTCTTGTGTCAGCACCTGTTAGGCACCTTATCACATAATTTTTGGAAAGCCTGTGATGACCCTGGAAGGGATTGGTAATGAGCCTCATTTTAAAGATAAGGAACCTGAGATGGAGAGAACTTAGTGAAGGTCAAGAGCTCCCACGCACAGAACTAGGGTTGCACCCCTGTCTCTGGCTACTCAGCCTCTGCTCCTTCTACCACAGCAGGCTGGAATTTACTCGAAGAAACACTGTTTCTTAAGGAACACTTAAAATTCAACCAAGACATTCTCCCTGTGTACTCAGAGGCAGTAAAGTGTAGTGCCATCGTTCTCAAAGTATGATCCCAGGATGCCTGGATGTCCCTAAGACCCTTTCAGGGGCTTTGCAAAGCCGAAGCAATTTTTGTACTAATAATTATATGTTATTTGCCCGTTTCGCCTTTGTTCTCCTATCAGAGGACAGTGAAGTTTCCAGGGTTGGCATGACATGTATTATACAATAAATTGAATGCAGAAGCAGATATGAAAATCCGGTTGTTTTCTGTTAAGCTGGATATTAAAGAAATTTGCAAAAATGTTTAAAAAAACAAAAACCCACTCATCTCACTATAGTTTCTTTTTAAGGAAATATCGTTGTTTTTTATACAAATATATTAAGGTTAACATGCAATGGTTTTATTACTTTTAAATGAGTTAAACCTTTTCTAATTTTCTCTATCTTAATTTCTAATACCATATATATCAATAAATGCAACCAACAAAAACGAAGCTCATCACAGTCCTCAGTATTTTAAAGAGTGTGAAAGGGATCTGAGACCCAAAAATGTAAGAACTGCTAGTGCAGTGTTGAGTGCAGACCTAGAATCCTAACTACCTGGATTCATACCCCAATTTTGCTACTTAGTAACTATGGAAGTTTCTTTATGCCTTAGTTTCCCCACTTACAAAATGGGGATAATATATTATTTACCTCCTAGAAGTTGTAGTGAGGACTTAATGAGTTTGCATGTGTAAATCACATACAATATCCATCACTTAATAAGTTCTTTGTTTCAGATTTTATGTTACTGAATTGTTACATACTCTATATATTTGTGTTTATTTCTAGGGAAAATCCCCCCAACATTCAAGATGAATAAAAAGAATAAATTACTGAATTATCCAAATAGGTTTCATTTACTTGAATTAGAAAAAGAAAAAAAAAGTCTTGAAACTGGAGTCACGTTTCAAGCATAAATGTTAAAATAGTTTCCATTTACTCTATTTACTGTCAATTTAATATTCTCATTCTCTGGCACTAAGCGTTACAAAAATCTTTTTAGAAAAGCTAAAATCTCTCACCTTTATAAGTAGTCTCATTTTCCACATTGGCAGATGCTGTTTAGAAAATGAGTAAACTAGGGTAGGGCAACATGTCTGAGACACGTTACCCCAAGTGAGAATGGTATATGAGATTGGAATACCAAATGTGGTGATTAATAATAAAACAGAATGCTTTCAATTCACAACTTAGAAGTCCTATTCAACGAAATTTAAAATGTAGGTTTTTTTAAGAAGCACAGATTCTTAAATAAATGTATTCTTGAATATAGTTTTAATGCTTTTAATATAGGTTTAGGTATATGCTAAATATAGATTCATTCTTTTCCTCTAAAGAAATGCATCATGCTTACTCAGTAAATAACAGTTTATACCAAAGAATTTTTTAAGGAGTTGAAAACGGTTTGACTTTGCAGAGTAGCACAGTGGCTAGCACACACACTTAGAGAAATATGTTTCTACCTTACTCTGTCAATTACTAATGCATACCATGGCTGAGTTTCTTTATGCCCAGATTCTGCTGTGTAACCATGATAGGAGGGAAATGACCAAGGTCAGTTCAAATATGTCATGAAAGTCTAAAATTCTGACTCCTGAAGCCTCTCATGTTCCGGCACTGACAATAGAAAGCACAGTAATTAAGAGCAGTGTGACCTTGGGCTGTTATGCCCAGTATTCCTGAGCTGTAAAGCGGAAATAATAATTGTATCTACTTCTTAGGTGGGCTGTGATGATTAAATAAGGTATGATAATGTATGTAAAGTCCTTGCCCTTAAAACAACATTGACAGGAAAGCTCCACCACAAGGTGTTTAAGTGGAATCCAAGATTCAACCGTGTAACGTACGTGATGGTGTAACAGTGAGGTGTTCCAGGTGCTATTGCTGCGCAAACTTAGTGTTGTAAAACTATTTCATTATGCTGATGGACTCTATGGGTCAAGAATTTTGGAAGGTCTCATCTAGATAGTTCTTGCTCGGGTCTGTTCCAGGATTGCTGTAAGATGTTGGTAGGGGCAGCAGTCATCTGAAGGCTCAACTGGGCTGGACATGCAAGATGGTGCACTCAGATGCTGGCAATTGGTGCTAGATGTTGACTGAGACTTTAGCTGGGACATCAAACAGACAGCCTACATGTGATCTCTCCATGTGGCCTGGGATCCCACATAGCATGACTCCCTGGCGTCGTCAGATTTCTTACACTGGCCGAGAGTCCAAGGAAGCCAACTGGGAGCTGAACTGTATTTCTGCTGCATTTAATTGGATATGAACAAGTAATAAAGACCAGCCCAATATCAAGGCGAGATAGACTCCACTTCTCCAGGGAAGGAATGTCAAAGAATTAGCTGGCATGTTGTGAAGTTGCCATATGAGGTGAAGGAAAAATATTATTTTTCTGTCTGTATAGTCTCCAAAAGAAATTAATAAAAGGAACAATATTGAAAATATTGACCTGAGAAAGTCCTGAATGATCATGAAGGAAGCACTTCCTAACTGTCCCCAAACCCAACCCTGTATAAGAATTTGGCTCACTTCTATCCAAGCATGGTGGCTCATGCCTGTAATCCCAGCACTCTGAAGCAGGATCACCTGAGATCAGGAGTTCGAGACCAGCCTGGCCAACATGGTGAAACCCTGTCTCCACTAAAAATACAAAAATTAGCTGGGCATGGTGGTGTGCACCTGCAATCCCAGCTACTTGGGAGGCTGAGGCAGGATAATCACTTCAACCCAGGAGGCAGAGGTTGCAATGAGCCAAGATTGTGCCACTGTACTCCAGCCTAGGCAACAGAGTGAGACTCCATCTAAAACAAAACAAAACAAAACAAAAAATTTAGCCCACTTCAGATTGAGAACAGGGGCAAAGGGAAGATAAGAGACAGCAATTGCCAATTCCAGCTAAATTTGAATTATGCCAGATCATATTAGCATTATCATGAATTTTTACTCTTTATCAGATTATAAGCTAGGTTACTGTAACTAAAACATCACAACACAATGGCTTCAATTTACTTCACTAACAGTCCAGCCAGTTCCGGTTGGCAGAGCACCTCTGCTCCCTAATGTCATTCCATACTATTGCTCTGCCATTTTCCCTGAGGTATAGTCCTTATCTGCATGGGTAACGCTGGTGCACCTCACTTCCAGCTCGGGAGAGGAAAAACAGGCAGCAAGTAGAAAAGCCGCTTATCTCAGAGTTGTGAGGATCTGTAGTCAAGTTCCATCCATTGCCTCTGTGCACAACCACTGGTCCAAACTTAGTCACATGACCACGCCTTGCTGGAGGTGGGGCTGGGAAACATAGTTGCTGCCTGATAAGCCACAGGCGTGAGGAGAGAACAGATTAGGAGAACAAGTGTGCCTCACAAACAATAAATAAATAAGTATTCTAAAATTTTAACTGTTTGCAGCATTAACAAGCTAATCAAATCTTCTTAATCTCCATCAATTTCAGTGTCATAAATAACTAATATGCCAATTGCAAAAGAATCTGAATTAAATGACACGTATTCTTCAACGCTCTTACAAATTTCTCTAGGACTGCCAGCAATTCTCTTGCAAAAATGACTGCACATTGAAAGTTGGTAACACAGCTCTTACCTGAACTCCCACATATGAATTATTGTGAATTCCAAATTAATAAGGTTCAATGAGATCTTAACAGAGTTTGGAAATGATAATCAAGGTGGAGGAAAACAGCTTAACAATGAAGACTCCACAAATAACCAAAATTGGGGCAAAATTTGATCACCTTCTAGGGAAGAAAAGGTGATATTTTCTTTCATGTATTAATATAAATGTAAGATTGTATGTATTTTTGGATTTAAAATGAGATTTTTGCACAGCTGCTGTAAATCTAATGGACTTGAGTACATTTTTATAGCCCCACCTTCCCCCTAAGTATGCTCCTTAGGCTGGGATGACGCTGAGGACACTGCATAGGTATGCTGCAATATTAAGAATGCAGGACACTTTGGGAGGCCGAGGTGGGCAGATCACTTGAGGTCAGGAGTTTAAGACCAGCCTGGCCAACACGGCAAAACCCTGTCTCTACTAAAAACACAAAAATTAGCCGGGCGTGGTGGCACACGCCTGTAGTCCCAGCTAATCAGGAGGCTGGGGTATGAGAATCGCTTGAACCCAGAAGGTGGAGGTTGCAGTGAGCCGAGATTGTGCCCCTGCACTCCAGCCTGGGTGACAGAGCGAGACTCTGTCTCAAAAAAGAAAAAAAAGAAAAAAAAATGCAGAACAAGAAATCGTCATCTCTGGCTTCCTTTTTTGTCTCCTTAAAAGAGTTACTGAACTACTCTGAGTCTATTTCCTCATCTGTAAAATAGGAATACTATCTATACCCCACAGTAGAGAATCATAAAACGTTACTTTATACTCAGTAAAACACAAATGCCTACTACACAAAGCAGAAAGATTAAATCGACTGTCCAGTCTGTAGACGGCCAGCAAAGCAGCTAGGGGTTTCTATAACATGCGTGGAAAGGGACAAGATTATATTCTCTCACTTTACGTTCTCTCACTTTTGATCCCAGTCTTGATGTCTCAAGCTAAAGACTGACAAACACTTGCCAGCAGCATCAGGTCCTGCAATGCCTCCCAGGAGGAAAGGCTCCACACAAGTTGCTGGCGGCCAGCTGCAGCAGCCAGCGCTGGCTTGGTACTCACGAAGAACCTTTTCTGTTTTTGTTTTTGAGACGGAGTCTTGCTCTGTCGCCCGGGCTGGAGTGCAGTGGCACGATCTCAGCTCACTGCAAGCTCCGCCTCCCGGGTTCACGCCATTCTCCTGCCTCAGCCTCCCGAGTAGCTGGGACTACAGGCGCCTGCAACCACGCCCGGCTACTTTTCTGTATTTTTAGTGGATACGGGGTTTCACCGTGTTAGCCAGGATGGTCTCGATCTCCTGACCTCGTGATCCGCCCGCCTCGGCCTCCCAAAGTGCTGGGATTACAGGCGTGAGACACCGTGCCGGCGGAAGAACATTTAACATGACGACTCTGGCACCTACTGTAAGTTTAGATAACTGTTTCAAGGACAATAGGTGCTGTGGCAGGACGCCCGGTGTATGTCAATACAGATTCGATTCTTTTCATCAAAAGGAAATGTGGAGAATAAAAATTTGAAGAAATAATGATGTCACGCCTGTATCAAAACATCTCAAGTACCCCATAAACATACACCTCCTGTGCACACACAAAGATTTTTTAAAAATTGGAGGAACAAAAGCACTATGTCAATACCACAGTGAGGGGAGAGAAATGTAAGAATAGAAGCATTCCCTAGGCTTTACCCTTCGATCTTTGTTTGGCAGGTTCTGCCCACACGCATGTGTTCATTTCTCCAATGTGATAGGCATAAGATACCAGAAAAGGGACATGTAGCTGTGAAAACACCAAAACAGGGAGAACTGATAGTAAATGACTATGTGTGAATGGACCAGCAAACCCAAAAAATCCCAATACAGAAAACCGAGTGGGGAACAGGGTGCACCTAGAGAAAGAAAGATAAACACACCCCAAAGGGACGACAAGCAAATAAAATATCAAAGACATCACACTTTCTTGTACCACCAAGAGGCTCCCCTAAAATAACAAGTCCATTTGTCATGTTTCTTGTCTCGTTCACTTAACTATCAGGAGATAAGGTTTAAATCTCTTTTTGTTTGTTGTGCCCCCCTCCATCCTCCATCCTGCAAATAGAACTCTACTGCAGGAAAGCAAATAAATTGAATTTTACAAAATTACAGTGTGGACAGAAGTGAGATAATGGATTGTTCCACAAACCCAAAATCAGAACTAAGGTGTCTTCTGAAGCCTGGAAGAAGTAGCTAATTAAATAAATGAAGAGGCCGGGTGGTTCACACCTATAATCCCAGCGCTTTGGGAGGCTGAGGCATGACAATTGCTTTAGTCCAAGAGTTCAAGACCAGCCTGGGCAACATAGTGAGACTCTCTCCCTGAAGAAAAAAAAAAATTAGCCAGGCATGGTGGCACAGACCTGTAGTCCTAGCTACTGGGGAGGCTGAGGCAGGAAGATCACTTTAGCCTGTGGGGTCGAGGCTGCAGTAAGCAGTGATCGTTCCACTGCATCCAGCCTGGGCAACAGAGCAAGACCTTGTCTCAAAAATGAAATATTTATTTAAATAGAGATAGTATTAGTATTTTACAAGTCAGTAAACATGCTGTTCTCTTTGCCTCCCATGCCCCCACCAGGTAAAGGAGATGACAAATTAAAAGGGGACATAAATGTATACATTTATATACATTCATATATATATGTGAGGTATGCATTAACAGTGCTGGCTGGTATGATGATATGGAGTTGGAGGCAATCAAGGTGTCAGCTCTAGAGAAAGTGGTAAGGACAGTGTGGTAGACACACACTATAGAATACAAGGCAGCAGTCAGAAGCAATGAACTAGATGTTGCTAGATGTGGAGTAAAAAAATGTTGAATGAAAAATGAAACTGAGAAGAACTATAGCACAATATCATGTACATTCAGTTAAGCATAAATTAAAAACATACCACATGCAAAGCACTACACCATTTTCTCAGGCTATAGATTTAAAGATGTGTCAAACACAACAGATTGAGTCCTTGTGTGGGGAGAATGGTAGAAAACAGGATGAAGGAGCAAAATTAATACCAAGGAGCCCTCATTGTTGGATAATAGGGAACCTGGACACTAATGGGATATAATTAATTCAACTCTGCATCCAAAGTTTAAAGAAAAAGACCTATGTCTAGCAAAATGAGGTCTGGTTAATACACCGTGAGGGCAACCACATTCTCCTGGCATGCTCGAACCCACTACTCAGAATACTGCACTGACTAAATCTCACCATGCCTTACTCAGCGGGTTTGCTCTGTAAAAGAGAACTTTAAACACTAACTCTGTGCCAGGGACTCAATGACTGTCTGGTCCTTTAGCAGATTTCTTTAACCCCAACAACCTGTGAGATAATAAAACCTCCATTTTACAGATTTAAAAAGCCAAGTCACTTTTCCAAGGTCACAAAGATAACTCAAATGGATTTGAACTTCATGTTTAGCTTCGTTTTCAATATATTAGTGCCTTCCTCTAAACCACCTAAACTGAGAATTTCTCCCAAGATTTGACCCTGAGGTAGCCTTTCTAAAATGATACCTAAGCATTTTACCTTTACTTTCGTCCTAGAGTAACTGCACCACTGGAAACAGCATCAGAGTACATAGCAGTCACTCTGTGCATTCCCATTTAGAAACAGAAAACCTTTATGGCAAGCTATGGATGTGCTTTTTAACTTAGCCTGGATTTAATGCAAGTGCCCAGAGATATTCACTACCTCCTGTGCCACAATACATTCCATAAGCGATATTCGACTTTGCCCCTACATAAGCCTTCAAGCCCCCTTACATAGGTCCCAGTGCCATGACATGGTGAGTTCCTTGGAAAGTTAGTAAGTTTGGGGCACACAAGTCATTCCTGATTCCTCACATTACTCTGACAACCATAAATCATTTAAAGTTGAGGCGATGAAGCAACTGTCAGGCAGCAGTGCAAGTCCCAGGGTCCAGTAGACACAGGACTTACCTTGTGAAAACATAACCTTTCAACACTATTCAAAAATGACATCTGAAAACTCATATGATTCTAACTTTTATTATTAGGTCAGAACCAATGAAGTAGCAGCAAAAGGGTCTCTCCTATGATCTGGCTTTCACTGGTCCTCAGGGCAAGGAGGAAACTTGCAAGGGCAAGGAGATGATCGCTCAATCCCAGCAGACTCTCAGAACCTCACTTGGACCCGAAAGTGCATCTGCTTGGTGGCATTGTTCTTCATTCCTGTCTTCAGCATCCATTTTGATTTCATCCTTTGGACATATTGCATGTCTCGCTCTCGCATAAGAGCTGCTCCTATGATTGGAAGGCAGTTAAGAAATTAGGCAAAGGTCTGTTATTTGTGATCAGAGAAAAATCCAACCTTGGCAGAGAATTCAAAAGGTTAGTTTGGGGTAACTGGGTTCTTGTATTTAAAACAGAGTTGCTAACTTGGGGTCTCTAAACCATGGGCCTCAAGGGTCTCTGTGGACCCCAGAATTGCATACCAGAACTTTTGTATATATACATTTCTCTGGGATTAGCGTCTTTAGTTTTCATTATCTGGAAGCGTCTATAAGCCCAAAAGGTGAAGCCCCATTAATCAGAAAGGCAGAAGCTATTAATCGAGTCAGACAATACTTCCTGATAAGAGTAAGATGAAGTCAAGTCTCTGCCAGATTCAAGTGGCCACACAGCTCACAAGTAGCCACAATGAAGGAAACTACATATAAACACAGTGGCATTTCAAATGGATTTTAGTTGCCTAGAGCTTCCCAGGCCATCAGAAAGCAGCCCTCCTCTTATCTTCTCCACAGTCCTCTAGTTGGATAGATGCTTTCCCTGAAGATCTAAGGATATAACCAGCTTCATCCAGCAGACACATCAGAATAGATGTAAAGAGTATCATATTGATGAGGTTTCAAAGCTCAACAATTGCAGTGGCATGCTTTACTCTTCTAACTTTTGCTAAATATTCTATGGGAAAAACACAAAAAAGGGGACTGACGGCTAACCTTGACGATGGGCATGCACTATATCACACATGCATGACATTCAACCCACTCAACTCTAAGAGGTAGGTCTTATTACTATCATCTCTGTTTTATAAATGAGGAAACAGAAGCTTATATTAATTAAACTACTCATGCTTATCATATAAAAACCTCTAAGTACATCACATAAGTCACGTTTGACTCCACAGCTCAAGCTATTAACCACTAGGATACTGTCTGATTCCTCTGCGTAACCTCCAGGATAATTTCAACCTTTGGTGATTACTAAATAATTCTTCTTGTAACTATTATCTTCTGAAAAAGTTAATGGTATATAAAATTGCTGTGCCAGGAATATGAAATTTCTAAGTCATAGCACTTTGGGCTTATTGCCTTAAACATATCAAGTGGTAATGGAAGTCCCTGGAGCCAAGAGGTTAAATTTCCCCCAGAGAGGATCCACAAGGACAATATAAATGGGAACAACTTTCCCCAGACCCCTGCTAGAAATACAAGTTCTTAGACTGGTCTGCAGTTGTAAACATCAATGTACCTGTGCTGCCAGTCCATCCCAGGGCTCTGTACTGCTGAAGTACTCGGCCCACGGCCTTCCGATTTTTGGCAACTGCCACAGCTCTGGACAAGCCAAATCGCTGTTTGTAGTATCTCATCAAGGAGCGATGACCCACTCTGGCACCTGTTTTTCCAAAGAGCAATACTGAAACAATGAGTTGGATAGCTTTTTCAAGGCAGAGCTATAAAGCAAGGGCTTTCCAAATCAGATCTTTTAGTATATCTAGATGGAAAATCGATGTACCAGAAGAAACAGTTGTTCTACCTACTAAAGAAAGATGAAGCAGCATGTAAAATAAAAATGAAAAAGTGAAAGAAAGAAAGCATGCAAGAAAAAGAAAACCAAACAATGGATTTTTTAAAAAGAGAATGGCAAGTCACTGTTAAGTGAAAAACTTAGCATTGTGTACTTACTTGCATACAATCCCCAAAAATACACATAGAAACCCCTACTAATACAGATAATAGGGCCCTAGGAGATAAGAGATTTTTAGCATTTTATATATATAAATAAATAAAAATTATACATATATATGGGAAGATTAAGCACAGAGAGCAGTTCTGATGTTTGGGTCTACGAGCCACAGTCAGGATCTAAAATAGAAATCAATCCACCTTTCCTTTGCTTAAATTCTCTATTGCAGTGATTCTCCAATGGGGATTTTACCCAGCAAGGGACATTTGGCACTGATTGAAGACATTTTTGGTTGTTACAGCTAGAGGTTACTACTGGCACCTAGAGGGTAGAGGCCAGAGATGCTATTAAACATCTTTAAATGCACAGGACAGCCCCCAAAACAAAAAATTATCTAGTCCAAAATGTCAATGGTGCCAAGGCTGAGTAACCCTGACCTATTGCTTCCTAAATGATGGAAATCACCTGGTCAATTTGAATTTTAAAAGATGATTAAGCTGAATGCTGTCTATAGCTTTTGCTTATTTAGTAGGATCTGGTAAAACTATGTGAGTCAATCATGCTTTCAGAAATGAATTTCTAAATTTAATTTTCAAAGTATGCTCATGTCATTACAACATATGATTGTATATCTCATTATCTCATAGGCCCACTAACTTGTAACAGAGTGAGAAAAAAGAAAACAGACTCTGCATATTTCAAATAAAAAAACTATGGGACAAAGGTATTGGCCACCAGTTGGAAATTCTGTAGCTGGAATAATAAAAACCTGAGGTAAGTAAAGGTATCTACTGGAAGAACAATTCAAGGTTCCTATTTAAGGGTGAGGCACATCTGATATATTAATCTAGGGGTGGCAAACTACAGCCAGAGAACCCAATCTTGCCAATCACCTGTTTTAGTTTGTTCTACTGCCACACAGCCATGCTCAACTGTGTAGGTATCGTCTCCCGCTGCTTTGGTGCTTGCTACAACAGCAGAGGTGGGAAGCTGCTGCAGAGACAGAATGGTACACAAAGCCTTAACGATCACCTCTGGCCCTTTTCAGGGAAAATGTTCCAACCCCTGTGTCATAAGTTCAGGGGAGATGACCTGAAGGGGGCTGGGTTTAGAGATGACTAATTCCAGGCTCCCTTATAGCAGTGCCTCTCCAAAGGTGGTCCCTAGGCCAGTGTCATCAGCATTACCTAAAAGCTTACTAAATACACGCTATCCTTTCACAAGAATATTAATTAGGACAAAAGCAATCAAATATCTTCCCAGACAGACATAACCATGCAGATATTTAACAACAGCATATACATAAGGCACGATAAAAGCCATTTCCACTGAAAATGAATAAAGGATATTTGGCTAGGTAGAACCCTGTGTACAGTTTCCAGGAAAGGTTTGTATTCACTTATGTAAAGCCATTGCTTTCAGAATCTTTTGTGTAAAACGACCATGAACCAGATACTATAAATATTGTGGAAGTCTGTATTTGCTTTTAGGATCCAGACTTTTAATTTGCATAAGAAAATTATTTTGGTTGTTTTAAGTCCCTATACCTGCCAAAACAACTGGAAAATAATTTGTTTGCTATACAGATATGCAAAAGTAGTTACTTTCAGTTGCTTGTTTTGTTATCATACTCAAGAGATGACAAAAAGAACCTTTTGATTCAAAGACATGGTCTTTGGATACCAGTGTGGATAAAAACATTTTCCCTAAACCTGAATGTTTTCACAGCGTAACAGTTAACAAAGCTCTTAGACCACAAGAAATCAGTGAGATGTAGTTGACAGATAAAACCACAAGCTTAAATGGAGGGTCTACAGGAAATTCCAGCATTGTTTGCTGTGATGTTCTATTTATAATATTAGGTCTGGACACTCCAGGTTTGCAAGGTGATAATGTTGGTCATTAATACATAAGAATTTAATATATTTATATTCTTAAGCAACATGTGGAAATACATCCTACAGAAGGTTGGCCTTTTAAAGCATCCTTGAAATGGCTTCATTACTCAATGCCAAGGTTTCCAACAGTTGGTAAGAAGGAACTGAAAACAGCATTCAGAGCTACCCCTGCCCTATGCCAATGACAGTAACCACCTGATATTAGCACTAAGTATGATGAGCTAAGGACAGCTACACTTGAAGGCCCTCATCAAGGAAAAATATTTTCCAGAACACAGTGTGACTGCCCAATAAATAAGGGATTGGTTATGTCTAAGTTATGGTGAAGCACGCAACCTGTCCATCTAGCTTTTGACACAGCAGTAACGACTTACCGACTGTCCACTCCTTTTTTTCTTTTTTTGTTTTTTGGAGACAGGGTATTGTTCTATCACCCAGGCTGGAGTGCAGTAGCATGATCATGACTCACTGCAGCCTTGACTCTTGACTTCCTGGGCTCAAGTGATCCTCCTGCCTTAGCTGAGACTATAGGCACACACCATCACACCAGGCTAATGTTCACTCCTTCTTAACAAACAGCCTTACAATTTCTGCCATCCAATTGAATGGGCCTTTCATACCAACTTACTCCATAAGAGCTGAAGAGCAACGAAGGAAACCCAAAAAAAACCTTCAAGACCACAATCTTCAAAATAAATGCTCACAGTGCCCTCTAGTGGCTACTTTTTGTCATTGGCTTTGAGACAGCCTGCTTGATTTTATTGAAGTCCAATCTGAGCAAGTAGATTTAGTGTCCCAGCAGCAGGAGAGAGACTCTTGTTACCCAGTAAATGGACAGGAGATGAGTTCAGGAAGCCTTCCCAGACGGTTGAATCTAAATAAGTTGAATCTTACAAGAAAAGTAGGAATAACAGAGGTTCCACACATGCAAATGCCCAGAGGAAGAAAACTCTATGTGGGTGGATAGAGGAATAGCACTACACACCTGAGGGACCAGTAGAGAGAAACTCAAAGTTACCCTAAAGGCAATGGCTCCCAGGGGAGGAACTACAGAGGGTAAAGAAAATCTACTGGTGTTTTAGAAAGAATGTTTTGGTGGTCATGTGGAAACCAGATAAGAGATGACCAGACAGGAGGAATGGTGACACAGACAAATGAATACAAAAAAATACTGAAAAGACATTTAGGAGTTACTAAGCCATCTGGATATGGGAGAGGAAGACCTCTCCAATATCTTTCTAAGGCTAGCCAAAGCCAAAAATGGGCTTGGCTTTGGCAGTCAAAATGAGTATCTTTTTAGATACCTTAAAAAACTCAATCACCCAGGACAAAGCTGAGGATTCTTTATTTTTTATAAGTTTCAAAAATTTAAAGTCTAGATGAAAACTTCTCTGAAACATCCTAGATTTCTTAAATAGATATGCTCATGTTATGCTAAGTTTTGTAATATATTGTGCTAAAGTAGATGCTAAATAAAGCAAACACTACGGTGATCCTACTACATGGTAGACACTGTTGTACTAGGATTGTCTTATTCAATTTATTTAAGGTCTATGGTTATCTGATTCTACCGTTTAAGAAGCAGAAGCTAAGGAGACAACAAGGTAAACATATAGTTCTGGAAAATAAATTATTAAACATATTTCTGATGTTCTCTATGGGTACTGTCACCAGAGAAAGACTAGAAAAGGTTCTCTGGGATTTACGTTTTACCATCGTGTATTAGATAGGCCATGATAATATATTGCATTATAACCTTCTTATCACGGTAGAAAGAACTGTCATCTTCAAAATAGGTTCTGCCTGACCTTTCCTCCTATTGCCACACTCTAAAGCTGCTCTTGGCCTTACAAGGTTATCATTCTGAGCTAAAGATAGCCATCTGTACCTAAGCAGTGACATTCTGTGTGGAAAGGCGTAAGACAAGGCTGCTTCATTGCAGACCTCTCCACCAGCAGGGTATGTTGTTCCTGCCTGCACCATTACTGCAAATCTCCCAAAGTAGTATACGGATATTGGAAAAAGGCTTTACTGATTAGGTATGTGATCCTGGTAAGTTACTCAGCCTCTCTAAGCTTCATATGCAAAATGAAGATGCTGGAATCTAACTCAATGTTGGCCTATAAAGACAAATACATCTGCGTGAATGTGCTAACTGCTCAGTAAATACCAGATACTAAGATCTTATTATCATCTCTACCTTTCCATCCCCTTTCATTTCTGAAACATGTCTTCTGTAGCTTCTCCTATTCTTATCAGTTAATCACGATTCTTTCTTCCTACACAATAAACAACCATGTATGCTTCTCACATTCATGGTTATTCTTCTTCTTTTCACACCTCATGGTGGATAAATTTCCACCGTGAGTCAGATACACCCACACCAAACTACCATTTGGAAGTCTGAGCAACAAAAGGAAACAGGAATCAGTTCAAAGAATAACAGTTACAATTAACAAGAGAAACCTAGACAGGACCAAAAAAAATAGATAAAGACAGAATAGGAAAAGTCTACATCTAAAAAAAAAAAAAGAAAGAAAAGAAAAGAAATGCCTGATCAAACATTCTGAGTCATAACCCAGAAATGAACAAAAACACTGATCAAATTTAAACAAAACAGCCAACTTAGAGCTGAGCAGCAACCTTCAGGGTTTACACTGTACGTGAAAACCCAAACATATACCTTAAGCTTTATGGTCTATTTCCCTCAGTATGGAAGGTAATTGATGGAGATATGCTTCTCCCTCAGTCCCACTGGCATTAAGCTGTTTATTTTTGACAAATGCACTTACCAGAAGGCAGAATCAATTCCATGGTTTCATCATCATATTCCAAGTTCTTTTCTGAGGGCAACTCTTCAGCCTCACTGGGGTCCTTCCCTTCCTTGTGATCTGGGTAGCTACTCCTGTAACAAAGAAGTTGCACTAATAAATAGACTGATACCTCAAATGGAACTAAAAGACATAAACTTTATTTGCAAATGTGGCAAACTTCCTAAGCTACCTAAAAGGGAGAGGGCAGGAAGCAGCTGTAGGAACTACCAGCTAAAAGGTTTTGGGAGAAAACAACTCATTAGCATTTTGTCTGTAGTAGAAGTGAGCAAATGACCTATAACAGAATTCTATTTGTTTTTCCCTAGAAAGGCTGCCTAACAGAGAAGAAAAGAAGGAGAACGTACAGCTGGACATGCAGCTATACTCAATTTAACCATTATAAAAACAAGTTATAGCACAGTGCTGTCCAACAGAACTCTGTGACGACAGAAAATGTTCTATCAATATGTCTTTGTGTCTGATACAGTAACTGCAGTCACATGAGCTTTTCAGCACTGAACTTTGAAATGCAGGTAGTCTGACTGAAGAACTGAATGTTTAAATTTTTAATTAAACTTTCCATTTATTTAAATAGCTATATGGGTATACCTAGTAATTACTATATTGGACAGTGCAGGTCCAGAAGAATCTCCATATTCCTAAAAATGTTGACAAATGCTATTCATAGATACACATGAAAAATAATAGGAAGAGTGTACATTAAATTATTAACAGTAAACCACACAACCTAATAAGAAAATAGACAAATACTTGATCAGATACCTCACAAAAAGATATCCAAATGGCCAATGAATACATAAAAAGGCTCTTGATTGCACTAATCATCATCAGGGAGATGCAAATTAAAGCCACTACACACCCACCAAAGTTGCTAAAATGAAAAACTCTCCCTCACTACAAGTGGAAGTATAGAAAACCACTTTGGAAAACAATTTGACGGTATTTTCTAAAATTGAACATATGTATATCCTCTGGCCCAACTCCTACATATACGAACAAAAGATAACCTATAAACATTTGCCAAAGACACACTAGAATGATGTGGCAGCACTGCTTGTAATAGCCCCAAACTAGAAACCACTCAAATGTGTATTAGCCTTAGACTAGATGTTGTGGAGCACTGAACAGAACACTCTGTAACAATAAGAACTCTCTCCAACTATATAAAATAGTATGGATGGGTCTCCCAAACAGAAAGTTGAGCAAAAGAAGTCAGACCCAAGAGTACATTCTTTGTGATTCCATTTACATATAAAGTACAAAAACAGGCAAAATCAATCTATGCAGCTGTAAGTCAGAATAGTAGTTACCCCTGGAGAAAGGAGGGGTAGTTTCTGGAAGGACACACAAGGGAAATGTCAGGGGATTATTAACATGCTGTTTGTTGATATAGGTACTAGTTATATTTAAAATTTCACTAAACTGAGTCATGATATCACAAGTACGGTCATCCCTTGGTATCCATGGGGGATTGGTTCCAGGACCTCCCTAGGATACTAAAATTTGCAGATGTTCGAGTCACTGATATAAAATGGTATAACATTTGCATATAACCTAAATCATTACATGCTTTAAATCATCTCTATATTACTGATAATACCTAAAACATGGTAAATGCTATGTAAATAGTTGTTACACAGTACTGTTTAGGGAATAATAACAAGAAAAGTAAGTCTGTGGATGTTAGTATGGACAAAATTTTTTTTGAACACTATAGTTTGGATGCACAGATAGAGAACCTATGACTACAGAGGGCCAGTTGTATACATATATGTACTTTTCTGTAAGTTTATTCTTCAATAAAAAGTTTCAGGTCCAAAATAAGTAAACAAGTTACCTTGTGAAGGGGAGTGAAATTATAGGTAATTTGTCATTTTTTTAGCTGAGAGAATCCACATAAAATGCTTATTAGAACAGTGTCTGGCAGGTAAGCACTCCATAAACACCAGCTTTGTATGTAAAAGCTTTCTATTTTCCAAGTTTTCTTTACTAAGCATTATCACCTTTTTTTTCTCCCCCCAGAGACAGGGTCTCACTATGTCACCGAGGCTGGCCTGAAACTCCTGGCTTCTGGTGATCCTCTTACCTCAGCCTCCTGAGCAGCTGGGACTACAGGCTCATGCCACCACACTTGGCTAACTTTTATTTTTTTAAGGAAAACAAATCATTTAATATTCATTTTTAGGAAGAAAGGCTCACATAATTTCTCATTTCTAGGCACCAACAGAATAAAACTGTAAATGGAATGAAAAATACATCATTTGGACTAAGGGAGAACCAGTTCCATCAGTTACATATTTTAATTCAAACTAATGGTTAAGCAACACCCAGTAAAGAACAACAGTAACAACAACAAAAGGCTAAGGCTTGAAGCTTAGAGTCTAGAAGGAGGAGACAATAAACAAATAATATACAATACACACAATGGCAGTAGGGAATATAAGGAAAAATAAAACAGGATCAAAAGGATTGGGTAGGTGTTATTTTACGGAAGGTGGTCAAAAAAGGCCACATTGAGAAGGTGAAATTTATGTCAATGCCTGCAAGAAGTGAGGGACAAGTCAAGTGAATATCTGAGCGAATACTATAAACAAATACAGCAGCCAATGCAAAGGTCCTGAGAAACACACTTGATGCATTAGAGAAAGAGTTAGGAATCCAGAGAGCAACTAATACAACACAACAGACTCACAGAGGCTCCGGATCATGTGCAGGGCCTTGCAGGACATTATACTTTGGCTTTTACTTTGAGTAAGATAGGTAGTCTTTGAAAGAATCTGAGCAGAGTTTCACCTCACTTAGTGTTTTAAAAGGATCCCCCTAGTTACAGTTTTGAGAATAGAACATGGCGGGTAGTAAGAATGTAAACAGGAGGCTACTGTAGGAAGTCAGGCAAAAGAGGATGGTGCCCTGGACCTGGGCAGGAGCAGTAGAAGTAGTGAGAAGCAGTCAGCCTCTGAAGATAGATAGTGCAAAAGTAGTTAAAGCAGGATTTGGTGATAGATTCTAAAGTAAACATGAAAGAAAACAGAAGAATTAAGGAAGACTACCTGGCATTTGGCTTAAGTAACTAGAAGGACAGAGATGCCATTTACTTACAGGGAGCAGATTAGGATGCATAGCAGGAGTTGATTTTGGACAGGTTAACGATCCCTTTTAGACACAAGTAGAAATATCAAGGAGGTAGCTGGATATCTTCAGTCTATAGCTACGGGGAAGGCTATACTAGAGATATAAATGTGGGGGTCACGGGCCTGCAGAAGATACTGAAATCTGTGAGACTGGGTAGGATCCTGAATATAACCACAGGATGACAGACTGAGTGCTGGGCATTCCAAGCCTACTGCTGATGGCAGCTGCTTGACTCTATCCATGGTATTTGCTTTGACCACTCTGATGACAACATCAGTCAAAAGGTTATAAACATTGGTGTCTAAAAGGAAACTTGAGAGGGATAAATACTGAAAGAGGATGCTTCCCACCACCAGCAGAATTCACTGTCTTCTCTACTGCCACAGCCTCTAATCCTCCCCTCTCCCTTCTCCCAGTCATGTCCACCAACTGCAAGTCTCCAGCTGCAAAATGGGAAATCAGGAAGAAAATGCAAAAGCAAGACTTAAAAGACTGAGACTTTTCTGAACATTGTATCACTTGGACTATGCACACCTGGCATGGTAATTATACACATCTGCTTATCTCCTGTGCTAGCTCACAGGAATTTTGACAACTAGTTGTTCACAAGTACTTAACATACATTTGCTAAATGACATACAAATTATTCAAGATTCTAGTTAGGGCCAGGCATGGTATCTCACATGTGTAATCTCAGGCTAAGGCAGGTAGATCACTTGGGCCCAGGAGTTCAAGACCAGCCTGGGTAACACGGCGAAACCCCATCTCTACAAAAAAATACAAAAATTAGCAGGGCATAGTGGTGCACACTAGCTGCTGGGGAGGCTGTGGTGGGAGGATCACCTGAGCCCAGGGCAGCTGAGGCTGCAGTAGACCGTGATTGTGCCACTGTCCTGCAGCCTGGGTGACAGCAAAAATCTTTCTCAGAAAAAAAAAAAACAGATTCTAGTTAGGGGTGAACCACCAATGGGATAATCTCACCATCAGATGCCTGGTTTGGGACTGGTTTAGCAACTGTCTCAACTCCTTCAGGGGACAGCTGGTGATCAAGGACTCTCCAAGAACCCAATATGTGAAACCTAATTTCTGTACCTCTGTTCAAGGGGCAAAACTGAACTCTTGATGATTTAACCAGAACAAAAAGAAAAACAAGTCAAACTTCAGTTTGGGTCTAAGGTCTTCTCTTTACTAGATGTGTTAAACTCTGTGAAACTGAGTTTCTCAACTAAAAGAAAGAACTGCCTAATACAGAGGTGTTATAAGTGTTATTAAGGATACATTGCACAGTGCCAAACACATATCCAGCACTGGCACACACAATATCAATGCAAAGCAAATATGACTTCACTTCACTTCATGTTACAAATTATGCTTACCTAAAATCATAGAAGTCTGCAAATTCCAAAGCAGCATCGCCATCTGTGAAGAGCTTACAGTGGCTTTTGTCATTCATATGCGCCTGTACAGCTTCTGTGGAGTAGAAGGACTTCCCTTTCTCATTGCACCACAAGCAAATCTTTCCAACACCAACTTTCTCTCCTAGAAAAATAATTTAAGGAAAAAATATGAAAAAAGCTTTTTGCAACCAATTAAATCTCACTATTTGTCACAACTCAAAAATCACTCACAAAATAAGTAAGCAATTATATCAAAGATTGATGAAAACTGCAAAACTAATGTTCCCTTGAGACCAGTCCCCCAATAATGTGATTATTTCCTCATTAAAAGAAAAACTATTGTACTTACCCAAGTATTTAATCAGTCCCTTAATATCTGAAAGATATTCTATATCAGGAATAAAGAAACTGTGGACTTTGGTCATATGAGCCACATTCTTCATAAGCGAGCTGGAATGATGGGAACAAAATAAGCAGTCCCTAATAGGGATGGCACCAAGGGGTGGGCCTTCCTCAGCCTCTTCCTCCTCTGCATCCTGCTCCACCCCATCCTCCATTGCTTCAGTATCCTCACATTCCAATTCTTCATCAGAATCAATATCTTCCCAATCTGCAAGCCAGAATTTTGAAATAGTAAGTTTAAGAAAAGTAATAGCAAGCAAAGATATCACATGCGGTGATACAGTCCTATATTTGGAGAAACAGCCGTACCCCCAACTCCCAAGGACAACTCCTTTTTCAAGATCTCAATTTTAGCTATTTGTTTACCAGACTCATCTGAATGCCTGTGAAATTCCTTAGTCTTTCTTTTCCAGGAAATAGGAGTCTTTTGTTTGTTTCTTTCCTATGCCTTATAGCACCTAGCCCAGTGCTGAACATAGTTAGGGAGTCTCCTATCTGGGTGAATATATATATATATACATTTGTGTGTGTGTGCGTGTGTGTGTGTGTGTGAGACGGAGTCTCGCTCTGTCACCCAGGCTGGAGTGCAGTGGCGCCATCTCGGCTCACTGCAAGCTCCGCCTCCCGGATTCACGCCATTCTCCTGCCTCAGCCTCCGGAGTAGCTGGCACTACAGGCGCCCGCCACCGCGCCCGTCTAATTTTTTGTATTTTTAGTAGACATGGGGTTTCACCATAGCTTGATCTCCTGACCTCGTGATCCGTCTGCCTCGGCCTCCCAAAATGCTGGGATTACAGGCGTGAGCTCTGGCTGCATATTTTTATAAACTGCTAAAACAATGCCTCTATCTACTATTTCACAAAAGTACTGTGGGGTGTGTGTATGTGCTGGTGGGATGCTCTATGAACGGCCATGGTTTGAATGCATCTTTCCTTCTCAAAATTCAAATGTTGAAACTTAATCATCAATGAAATGGCATTAAGAGGTGGGGCCTTTAGGAGGTGATTGAGGCGAGCACTAATCCTGAATGAATGGATTAGTGCCAGGGAACTAGCCCGTCTTTGCCTTCTGCTTCTTCCACATGATACCATGAGAAAACTTCATCTATAGAACAGGCCCTCACCAGACACTGACTCTGCCAGCACCTTGATTTTGGACTTCCCAATTTGCAGAACTATGGGAAAATACATTTATGTTATTCATAAATTACCCAGTCTCTGGTACTTCGTTATAGCAGAGCGACCAGACAAAGACATGAACACGTACACCAGCACTGTTAATAGGATGTGGGATGAGGGAAAGAAGGAATAAATAACTCATAAAGTCAAAGAGGTGAGGCTGCTGGCTCCAGCTCCACATTTCTGGCTGAGTTGATTTTGATCCCCTCATTCTGTTTTACTCAACTAAAGTAAGTGCAAAACCATCATAACTGGAAACCCACTAGAATAGCAAATAACACGGCGGCTGGTATGACGATGTCCTCCTGTGCGTATGTCAAAAGTTTCCTCATCCAGGCCGGGCGCGGTGGCTCAAGCCTGTAATCCCAGCACTTTGGGAGACCGATACGGGCGGATCACGAGGTCAGGAGATCGAGACCATCCTGGCTAACACGGTGAAACTCCGTCTCTACTAAAAAATACAAAAAAACTAGCCGGGCGAGGTGGCGGGCGCCTGTAGTCCCAGCTACTCGGGAGGCTGAGGCAGGAGAATGGCGTGAACCCGGGAGGCGGAGCTTGCGGTGAGCCGAGATCCGGCCACTGCACTCCAGCCTGGGCGACAGAGCAAGACTCCGTTTAAAAAAAAAAAAAAAGAAAAAAGAAAAAAAAACTTTCCTCATCCAAAACAGAGAAGGCATCAATTCATTCTCCAAATATGCATTAGGCACTTCTTCTTTTTCCAGACAAGGTTTTAGGCCTTCGAGAATGAATTGAGTGAACTAAACAGCCGAACCTGCTGGCCAGGAAAAGGCACTTCAGAAAGCATCTAAACCACCTTCCCTCATCATTTTTACTTAAAAGCTCTCAAACACACAAACACACACACCCATCTCGAGTATAATCTGAAAACTAAAGGGGGGCCAAGTTCCTCTTTACCCTCCCCGCCCAGACAGGGCCATCACCGTCTCCATCCAGGTCTTCTTCCTCCTCCTCACTGCCCTCCTCCTGCTGCTTTGCCAACTTCTTCGCCTGCTGTTCAAACCACTGGAGCCGGGGTGGTTTCTCGCTCGGGTCTCGGTCGTGGGTCCCACGGCCACCAGTCCCCACGGCTACGGCACTCCTGGCCTCCTCTGCAGGCGCTGGGGGCGCCTTCTTGGGAGACATGGACGGCTGGGCCTTGATGACCTGCTGGATGGCGGCGTTCATGGCATCCTTGTCCACACTGTCCAAGCCCAGTCCTTTCTCCATGTTCTTTTCATTCATCATCTCCACTTTCCGATTCACGGCCTGCACGGCCTTCTTCTCCAGCTCAACGTGCCGCCGGGACTTGAGGTGGTTCTCGTAGGCGTTGAAAGATGCAAACTTCTTACTGCAAACAGTACAGTAGGTGGCCGAGCCCTTGCTCTCCTCCTCCGCTACGGCCCGCTGCGCCCGCACTCGCTCCTGGAAGCCCTCGGCGGTCACTGGGGCCATGCTGGCCACCTTACGCCGCAGGTTGTAGCGGTGCCAGTCCGTCTTATAGTGGGCCCGCTGCATGTCCGCGTCGCGGAACGCCACCCGGCAAGTTATGCAGGTGTACGTCGCCATTGCCAGGTGAGAAATAAGAGTCGACCACGCCAAACACCTGGTGACCAGCGCCCTGGCTCCACACGACCCTCAGACCTTAACCCGCCTCAGCGGCCTGGACTAGCCTCCCGACACGCCGACTTCCTGATTGTCACTGAGGAAACTTCCGGCACACGTCGGAAGTTATTTACGACTGGACAGGAAACCCGCCTCTCAGGCTGTGGCCACGCCCCCGCCACTGTGAGACCCGGGAAGCCTAGGGAACGCAGTGACTGAACCGGACCTGGGTCCCCTCAGTCAGCCCGAGGTGGGTGTTGCTTAAAGGAGGTCGCGCCCTCCCAGTTACCTTCTCTGGTGGTTGCGCCGCTCAGTGTAACGCGGTCAAAGAGACGGCTACGCGAGAATGGGGGAGTGGAGCGCCCGAGGCTGCTTCCGGGCCCTCGGAAGCCCCCGATTAATGAATGGTCGGGTCAGCGACGCCAGGGTCGGGGTTTCTCTGAGGACCGCGCGCTGCACCCGCGGAGCCGGGTGAATGGATGTCGCGAGGGCCAGGGCTGACCCTTAACCCTCGGGGCCAACCTCGGAGCCCTCGCCGGGGGCTGGACCGCTTCCCCGGGAAACCGGAGAGGCCGGGCCGGAGGCTTGGCCTTTCTGAGGCGGCCCTTCGGGCGGAGGACACCGGCGAAACTTGAGTGTACAGAGTGCCGGAGAGGAGCTCCCTGTAGACACACAGTCCGAGCCACGTAGGTAATTCTAGTAGTAGCCACATTTTTAAAGAGTAAAGAGAAATCGGTGAAACTGCTTTTAATGATGTATTTAATTTAGCCCATCCTGTCATTTCAGCATGTAATCAGTCTAAAAGAATTAATGAGATCTTTTACGCTCTGTGGTTAGTTCTAAGTCTTGGAAATCCAGTGTGTGTTTTAGAGTTAACAGCCCATCTCAATATGGACTAGCCCCGTGTCAGGTGCCCAGTTGGCTGTGTAGCCTCATGTGTATCGGACAGCAAAGTTCTGTAGAAAAGAACTTCAGGCCAGGCGCGGTGGCTCACGTCTGTAATCCCAGCACTTTGGGAGGCCTAGGCAGGCGGATCATCTGAGGTCATGGGTTCAAGACCAGCCTGGCCAACATGGCGAAACCCAGTCTCTGCTAAAAAAAAATAGAAAAATTAGTCCTGGCGCAGTGGCGCAGATCTGTAATCTCAGCTACTTGGGAGGTTGAGGCAGGAGAATCGCTTGAGCCCGGGGGCGCGGGGGCGGAGGTTGTGGTGAGCCGAGATCGCGCCAGTGCACTGCAGCCTGGGCGACAGAGCAAGATTCCGTCCTAAAATAAAAAGAAAACATGAACGTCAAATGCTTGAGGAGGTCATAGATTTCATCCACACAGCCTGGTTGAACCCTTGTCAGCCTTGTTACGGAATCGAATGTTGCATGCTCAGAATCCAAGCTGCTAATAGAAAACCAAAAGAAGATGACGCTTTTAAAAAACCTTCCAGTGGCTTCCCTTGACTCAATCAAATTCAAACACCTTACTTTTTATTCTGCGAGGCTCTGCCCCTCCCTCTGATGTCCTGCCACACCCCCTTCTCTACCCTGCTCACCCTACTTGAGTCGCAGTGACACATTTGATGTTCTTCTGACAATCACGTTAGTTGGTACTGAGTCAGAAGTCCATTACTCTTCCGCTTGGAACATCCTTTTGCTGGCTTGCTCCCTTATTTTTTGGATCTCTGCCCAAATGCCTTTGTAAGAGAGGCTTATCCAAATCCACTTACCAAAAATAGTGCCTACCTTCCTAAGTCCTTACCAGGCATAACTTTTCTCTAGCACTGTATTAGTTATCTACTACTCTGTATTAAATTACCCCCAAATTTAGCATCAAGCTTTATTTCAGTTTCTGTATGTCAGGCATTTGAATGACTTAGCTGGGTGGTTCTAAGATCTGCTAAGAGGTTGCAGTGAACATGCTGTCCAGGGCTAAAGTCATCTGAAAGTCTGACTGTATTTGACGGTGGCTGGAGAATCTCCCTTAAAGATGGTTGATTTACATAGCTGATAGCAAGAGGTTTTGGTTCCTTGACAAGCAGGCTTCTCCATAGGGCTGCTTGAGTGTAGCGGAGAGCCACATGAAATTCATGAATTTCTTTCATGACCTAGCCTTGGAAGTCACACACAGTCGTTTCCACAATGTGTTGTTACTTATGCAGGTCAGCCCTATTTAATGTGAGAAGGGTTTACATAAGGGCATGAATACCAGGAAGTGGGAAGTAGGGGGCAGGGTTGTTTTAGGTGATCATTGGGAGATCAGCTGCCAGTAGCATTTGTTGTTTGTCACTGATTTCCCAGGCTTAGCACTGGAAGTCCTGCATCCCGGGAAACCCCTCAATCCTGGGCAAACCAGGATGTCTAGTCACACTGCATGTTAGTCATCTGCGTCTAGATAGAACATAAGCTCCATGACAGCAAGCAACTCCTTTGTTGTATACTCTAATGCTAGAACAGTCCCAGCAGATCAACTGGTGAGTATTTGTTAAACAAATCTTTTGCAGTGCAAAAGTTAAGTCAGATGGTGATTTTTATTTATGAAAACTTATTTTGAGATTATCAGTATCTTTTAAAATAGCTGAGCCGTCTGGATACTCACTTTGAGAAATGTAGCTAGTATTAGTTGTTAACTGGAATAAGCAGAGTATATATTCAAGCTTCCCTAAAAAGTAAAGCAGAAGATGGCTATAAAAGTAAAAAACTTCTGGTTTTACTTTTGCCTAGTATCATTCTTATATGACTCTTCCAGAATCTGTTCTTCAGGTCATTATTTCCTCCCTGCCTCCTCTAATCTATTTTCATGATTCTCCTATTTCAGCATCATTGAACTCTCCAGTTTTACTTTTCTTCTTTAAAGAGGTATTGTTTCCTCCGCCATACTAATTTTCCAATGTACTGTTCTGCAGTCTCCAAGATAACCTTACTCTTTCCCCATAGCCCCCCCTACAGTAAATACAAGTAATCAGTAATTTTCCTGTAGCATTTTTTTCATATGCCACTTTTTCTATTCAATAATAGTTGTCTGATGCCCGTAAGATAAAGTTTAAATTCCTTTCGTATCTTTCCTTTCATGGCTTTCGTATCTCCCATAGTCTCTCCCACATGCTACGTATTTTTTGTAATATTCTACTGGTTCTAAATTAAAGTATTCCTACCCTCAAGAAGTTTTTTTTTAATGACTTCTTAGGGATGATAAAAAAAATATAGTTAACTAGCTGGATCTAGTACAATGAAATATAAAGAAAGGGGTAATGAGTATTTAGGATAGAGAAATCTCATGCCATTAGAGAGATCAGAAAAGTTTTCATTAAGGAGTAGACATTTCAGATGGGTCCTAAAGGAGAAGATGGAGGACTTTGCAAGTGGAAAAGGAGGTAGAACAGGTAGAAGAAATACTGTAGAGGGAGGAAAATCAAGGACATATTTAAGAAGAGTGTGTCTAGGTTGGATGAAGCTTAGGATACAAACAAGAGAAAATGAGACTAGAAAGAGCCACGATCTCATTGGCAAAAGACTTGGATTCTTGTGTTTACTGTTCATGCTTCATTTGTTGGAGAGTCACAAAATGTTTCAGCTTATATGGCATCAGGAATAGAAGTGGGCCTTGAGTGGATCCAGCAGCAGTATCTGGAACTAATTGGAGGAAAAAAAGAGTAGGTCTACAACCAATACCTCCTTGGTAAATGCAAGGGACTGTTGAGTAAAATCTCTGCAGCACATCCTCAGCACTCTTAATGTGTCTAACCTCTGCTAACAGTACTGCTATCAAAAAAAAAAAAAATACCAAATTGATCACTCTGAAGAATTTAAATGAAGATCACTGATATAGTTTGGATGTTGTCCCCACTCATATCTCAGGTCAAAATGTAATCCCAGTGTTGGAAGCAGGGCCTGGTGGGAGTGATTGGATTATGGGTGTGAATTTCTCTTGAATGGTTCAGCACCATCCCCTTGGTGCTGTTCCTGCGACAGTGAGTTCTCTCAAGGTGTGGTTGTTTATAAAAGTGTGTATCACCTCCCCGCTTGCTCTCTCTTGCTCCTGATTTTGGCATGTGAACTGCCTGCTCCCACTTTGCCTTCTGCTTTGAGTAAAAGCTCCCTGAGGTCTTTCCAGAAGCAGAGGCCACCATGCTTCCTGTACAGCCTGCAGAACCCTGAACCAATTAAATCTCATATAAATTACCCAGTCTCAGGTATTTCTTTATAGCAATGTGAGAATGGACTAATACAACCACCTATGACAAAATTAGTGAAAGTATTGAAAATTAGAATTCCTTCTGTATATCATGACATAGCCCTTAAAATAGTTCACGTAATTCTCAAACTACTAGAGTTATGGTGCACACTGTAACAGTGACAGTACACACAGTAACATGGTTCTTGTTTCAGTCTTGGAAGACTTTGGGATAATTTAAAATAAAAGCTAATAAAGTTGCCTTCAAGTCAATTTGTATGCCGGTCACAATATTCTCTTGTGACAAGTTTACTGCTATTCACATTCCTATATTGCAGTGGCACCTTGGTTTTTAAAAGGCAGGCTACAAAGGGGATTGAGTTGGTTGAGGGTAACCTTGGGTGGGGGTAACAAATATTGAAATATAAAAACTAACGTACACTTATCACATAGTTTACAGTTTCTGTGAATTCTGTGTTCATGAAAACGTTAAGTCCTGTGAGAGATTTTCAGTCCCCAGTTGTTTTGGCTGTCTACATATGCAAAGACTTCTCTTAATTTAATAAGGAATTGAAATGTACAACAAAGTCTGTTTATCACAGCATTTAAAAATCAACTGGTTTCTGCGGTCTTTGAAAAAAAAAATCTAAAATAAAATCAGTATTTAATACTTAGTGAAATTATTAAATTGCTTAAAATTATGATCAGTTAATGTATCAAAAAACAAAACCAATATACTAGTATGATACATTAGAAAGAGAATAGGCTTTGGGGTCAGGCTGACTTTTTCCTTGACTAGCTATGTGACCTTGGACAATTTATTTACCCTGTTCTTTGGCAAAATGTTCTTAATACCACTTAACTGTAGAGTCGTGAGCATTAAACAGGATCCTGTTTTCTATGTCTTAGACCAAGAGTTCGCATACTTTTCCCATAAAGGGCCAGAGAGTAAATATGCTTTGTAAGCCTGGGTTCTCTGTCACAACTAATCAGCTTCATTGTTATAGCATAAAAGCAGCCATAGACAATACATACACAAATGAGCATAGCTGTGTTCTAATTAAACATTATTCACAGATGCTGAAAATTGATTTTCATTTATTCTCATGTCACAAAATAGTCTTCTGATTTTTTTTCAACTACTTCAAGATGTATAAAACGGTTCTTAGCTTGCAGCCCCTACAAAAACAGGTGGCAGGCCAGATTTGGCCCATGGGCCATAGTCTGCCAACCCCAGCCTTAAGACACTTAATCCTTGCAACACTCCATGAGGTAAATGGTACTACATATTTATTTTGTAGATGAGGTAAATAGGTATGGAGTTATTAGGTGACTTTCTCAGAGTCCCATAGCTAGTAGGTATTACAACCATTAAAATTACTATTATAGAACCTTATACATGGTCCACAGAATCAACTGAAATAGTAGCCATTTTTGCAACACTTCCATCCATTAATTCCACAAGGATTTCTTGCACTATGAGGCTGATACAGTGCTGGACCCATTAAAAGAAACTTACGATTCTTGTAAGCTGTTGCTTGTTGATTGCCTTTGTTTTAATGTTTAAAAGAATGGCTCAGTTGAAACACAGGCAGGAAAAAAAATCAGTTTCTTGGTTTTATGCAGCCTTTCCACACACCCCTCCCCCCAACGTGCTTCAGATACTTTTTTTCACCCATTCTCTAAACATCCCTGCGTGGTAAGGTAAGAATTAACTTCCCTATTTAATGCTTGGGAAACAGGATGGGGCTTGGGGACATTATATGACTTTGACACTGTGTCTTAGGGCCATAATATTAACATCAGAACCAGAACTCATATTTTCAACATCTTTCTTAGTATAAATGCTACAGTGGAAATGGAGGAATAATACACAAAAATATAGTTCTGAGGCTTTCTAATTTCATCATGATACAAATGATCTAAGACAACAGCAGTTCAGTAAAGGTTTTCAGAATAATTTCCTATCTTGCAATGAACACAGCTGGAGCAGTGTAAAGAAGTATACCCATCTAGATTATAAACAGTTCATATAAATGTTAAAATCACGTTTTTCTTAAATGTGTATTTGCTTCTTGACTAAAATTAGTGGCATGCTGGCATTTGCCACTTTTCTAAATGGAAGAAAGTTACATTTATTTCAAATGTAAGAGTGAGATGCCTAAATATGTTGAATGTATTTGCCAATTACAAAACCTTATAAAAGTCTTCCTAATATTTTATTAAACTGGGGAGCAGGCAGTTTTAAAAAAAAATTCCCTTTTGAAGCTATGTAGGGTAAGAAAAAAAGGTATTTCAGAATGAGAATATTCAAGCATGGATTGATCTTCCAAAGTGAGCTTCAACTTCTTGAGCACTACTTCATTGCTTCAGATTAAAATACATGCTCAGTGTATGCTATTGCCATTGTGTGATTTTGCTCAGTACCTTCTACAGGAAGTGAGCAAAACTTTTCTACAGCTTTCAATTTTAACAAAATACATCCATGGTTCACATTTTAAATACTTCAGTCCATTTAGATTTTACAAACCACTCATTATCAGTTCTTTCAGATGTTGGGGAAATAATGCTATTTATATTCTCATGGTAAAGGACATGTAGTCCTCTACTACACTGGATCAATCATAGATGAAGTGTATCTGCTACTTCATCTTTTAAAACCAGAAACAATGACCCCCACCACCACCAAAACATACGTATACACAAACAAAAACCTTCAACATCCTTGTGTTTGTTTGAATTAATAGTTGTGAGAAAGTACCATTACTGTATTGTGTAAATGTGTAGTCACAAAGTCATATACAAACAATATTAAAATTCATACATAGTTAAAATGCTGCTGTCCCTAGAGAGCTGGCATGTCTCCTCGATAGTGGTGATAGCACATTTTTCTACTCTACCAACTTCTTCCCCACACCCCTTTTAATTTGTAGTTATTAACATTTTATTCTAGATTTATTGTTCATACCATCACAGATTATCAGCCCTTGAGTTAATCTTCCTGTAAGGTTATCTAGAGATTTATATTATTTAATTACTTGGATTATTTAACTTTTTTTCTCCTCAGTGAAGAAATGGAAGTGACCTTTAAACTTTTCTACTTTATAACCAAGAATATTATTTTAAAGAAAGAAGCATACACATAAAAAAGAATACTGGTAACAACTATTTTATAAATATGTAACTGTATTTTTCTTCCTGTCCAGAAACTGTTATTGAATAAAATTCAGGTATATTCCTCCAAAACCCACACAGTTCAGAGATTTTCAAACACCAGGTTTCCATTTGTATTAAAATGGGCAAGATAATGAAGGCACAGGCTCACTTTGTATCAATAAAGGACATCAAACACAGTCATGAGGCACTAATGACATAAGCAATCACAAAAATGTTCAAAGTCTTCAGTAACTCTTCTCCCTTTAACATTTGGCAAAATTCAGTCTAGATATTTGAATACCTCAGAAAGAAAAAATAAATAAGAGTTGCTACATTAAAATGTCAGATTACTTATAATTAGTCTTTAGAAATATAAGGGATAAAATGAAAGGAAGAGAACACAGATTTCCTATATTCTTGGATTATCCTTCCCTTCTGAGGGTCTCAGATGTCTCTGTGCATCTGCCAGAATGCCAGCTGTACCTGAAGATTTAAGAGATTTTTGGTAGTTGCTGGCATGGTCCCTCGACACTGAAAGTTTATATCACAAAAACAAAATTAGCTTGGTGTGAGCTCTTTAGTCCTTTGTTAAAAACCATAAATCAGATGTGGTTATTTAAAAGTGATCTTAAAACGTTTAAAGGAAAATATATATACTCTATCTTCCCAGTAAGAAACAGATTTCATATTTATACTTAAATGGCAAATAAATATATTTTAAAGCCAAGCAAGTTCCTCTCCTCTATACAGACTAAGAAAACAGAGTTATTATGTCTTTATTGCTGATGATCACATCACTCATATCAATAACTAGTTTCACAATTTTAGGAGACTTTTTTCATGACATAATATAAAAGATACGGGTCTAACTTAAGTCTGAGCAGGCAGAATAGAGCTGTGCTCCCAACATCCCTATCACAAACATATGACAAATGAACAGCAAAACAACTGAATCTGTTTATGTCACAACCATTGTCTATGTGATACACAACTGCTTGCTTTCTGTGGGTTAATGCCACCCACTGCAAGACTAGAGATGGCAGTCAGTGGAGCATGCTGCTTTACAAGTAAGCCTAAGTCTACAACTGCAGAAATAACATGGAAATATTTCAGTCTATCCAGAGTACTTAAATATACTTTAAAATTTTTTCCTAAGAAATTAATTTTGATAGTATTTCCCAAGTCCTTCAACTAAGATACCTTGATAATTTCGATCTTTTTTACATCAAAATCTATCAGTTTAAAAAAAAAAATTTCCAGGTATTAGGAATAAGGAAGCTGATAACGGCATGTATTCACAATTAATTGTTAATATTTTTCAATGAGTTACAATAAACTGTTTTGCATGCTTGAAAAACTGTAAAGAAAAAGAATATTTATAGGAGGATTTTAATAATTTGGTTTTTGTTTCTTTTTGCTTTAAAAACCCCTAATATTTATCTCTGACAACACAGTGGTGTGTATAAAGTTCATTTCCATGCTTATTACACAAAAATAACGATCAGAAATATCAATCTATCAGTGTCAGCTGATATATATCCAATTAATTCACTGCAGGAGGGAAAATAAAACAAATCTAAAGTAATCATTAAAGCTTATAGTTCAATTTTTTTCTTTTCCTTGTTTTTTTTTTTTTTTTTTCTTTGAAATTTTTTTGGTGTTTTTTGTGCTCTGTTGCAAGCTGATTCCTAGATTAATGGCCTCCAAGTAGATTTGAAAGGAAACCTGTAGACTTCTTATTTTGTTGTGCTTCTGCTTCCTGGTCTTGTGTAAGTCCCAATTCACTCTCAATTTGATCCAGCTCTGACTGGTCAAGTAGTTCAAAGTCATCACCTTCTTCAGTGTCTGTGTCCTCTTCTGGGATGGGGGCAGCCTGAGAAAGTGCTTGCTGCACCCCCTCTAACTGGTCTTTGATAGCTGCAGTCACTGCAGCTGTGATGACATCCCCAGCCAGGTTGCTCATCAAGTGAAAGGTTTGGTCACTGTTCAGAGGAAGGGTGAGACCAGCTGCTGATTGTGTCTCTTTGCTTGGTCTGTGACCACTGTCCAACTGTTCCTTCTTTCTCTTGAGCTCAGTGGGCAAACCAAGGCTTAATTCATCTTCATCATTCGTTCCCATGCCATTTTCTAGAGATGGGAAATCTGAGAGATCTCTAGAGAAAACTTCCTCACTAGGTCGGTCAAGATCTGTGAAATGGGTAACAGAAGTTCAGACTTAAGCACCGTAACAAATTTCAAATAAAAGTGCTGTCTAAAGATCATCTATCTGACTTTAATCTGAACCCTCTGGCAACCTTGGCGTTCATCTAGCCTCCTGAGTCAACTTGAATCAATTTAACCACATACTGAACTCCTAATCCTGCAACACTCTTTCTCCACAGGGACACAAACACTACATATCCCTCTATATTTAGCTTTCCTCTTAAGCACAAAACAGTATATTTACTGACTTAACATTCACACTTGTCTGACATCAGCTTGAGGTTTTGACTAACGTTTAAGCATTTACTATAAAAATTCCCCATCCTGCTCCTAGGGTGGGAATTACCTTAAGCCAATGAGTATGCATGTACATGAAATTAAAAATACTATAATAGGAAGTTTCCTTGGGTTTTGGTTAATATTATTCAGCCTCAGCATTTTCATACATGGAGATCTATTTCAGTGTCTGTAATCTGTGTTTGTTTTAAGCAATGGAAAGAAGATACTGCTCCTTCTATTCCATATAACCCAAGAGTTTATGGAAACATTTGGCTCTCTATAACTATAGCTGAAACTGACCATATAAAGATTTAGGACATTTGAAATCAGTGTCACAGTAGAAGGCTGATAGATTTTATTGTTTTTACCTTTCATATAAAATTCTTTTAATATAACAGTTAACTCCCTGCAATCGTGATTTGAAATCTTCAGTTAATGAAAAGCCTTTTATGTGTCTTGGATTATTATTGTCTTTTTTGCTGAATAAATCTGAGATGGGATCCTTAAGAACAAGGTACTTGTTATTCTTGTTCTTTAAAATATGACCTCAAATTGGAGGTTCTGAAAGCTTGTAGAGCTTGAATGACCTTCAGCAATGCTCTTGTTCTAATGTAAAGGTGAGGAAATTGAGACCCACAAAAATTATTTCACCTGTTCGAGGTCATAAAGTTAGGTAGTGACAAAGGCAAGACTCTACTTGGGTTTTCCACCTTCCAAACCCATCTTCTTTCAAACACTGCACAGCCTCCCTCCCTCCTTCCTTTAAAAACAGAAAATGTCTTTTTGGAACATAAGTATAAAATAGTTCATTCATTCTCCTCCTTTATAATCTGCTCATATGTTCAGTATATAGCCAAAACAAGGTAATCCAGTGAGACTAACAAAAGTTAAGTTACCGTACAAGCATTGACTCTCAATTTAAGTTATGGATATAATTTGCATTATAAAGAATACTGTGCTGTCTTGTTTTTAATAGTACTTATTATAAACAAAGAATATACCGGATAAAATGTGGTACACATACACCATGGAATACTATGCAGCCACAAAAAGGAATGAGATCATGTCCTTTGCAAGGACATGGATGGAGCTGGAAGCCATTATCCTCAGCAAACTAAAACAGGAACAGAAAACCAAACACTGCCTGTTGTCACTTATAAGTGGGAGCTGAATAATGAGAACACATAGACACAGTGGTAGGGAACAGCACACACTGGGGCCTGTCATAGGGTCAGGGGTGGGAGGAGGGAGAGCATCACAAAATAGCTAATCGATGCTGGGCTTAATACCTAGGTGATGGGATGCAAACCACCATGGCACATGTTGACCTATGTAACAGACCTGCACATCCTGCACATGTACCCCTGAACTTAAAAGTTGGAAATAAAAAATAATAAAAATAAAAAGCTCTTTTAACTTCGAAGACAAATGTGAGAAACTCCAGAGTCAGCTTTGGACTCAGGGAACTTGCCCTCCATACTTCAGCCCCTTTTAATGAGGACTAGGCCTAAATGTATAGGATTACCATCTATCTTTCTCTCCCACATTATCGCTTAGGACATTTCAAAGACATTTCAGGAGGTAATTTTTCTAATTTTTAATTATTTTGTTTTCAAAATTTCTGTCCAAAGGCAGATTTGGACATTGATTTAGATTTTTTTCTCATACTTTTTGAAAAACAGCTTTTGATAATCATGCACCAAAAAAACACACTTCTAAAGTGTACAATTCAGTGTTTTTTAGTATATTCACAAAGCTGTACAAGCATCACTAATTCTAGAACACTTTCATCACTCCAAAAATAAATGCATACCAATTAACAGTCACTCACTATTCCCTCCTTCCATCAGTCCATAGCAGCCACTAACTTAACTTCCCTTTATTTAGACTTGCTTATTCTAGGCATTTCATATAAATGGAATTATACAGTAAGTGGCATTTTGTGTCTGGCTTCCTAGCATGTTTTCAAGGTTCATCCATGTTATAGCAAGTATCAGTACTTCATTTTTATAGCCAAGTAATATTCCACTGTATAGATATGGTGGTAACATGTTATTTACCCATTCAGTATTTGGCAGCAGTTAAATAGTTTTGTATGCACTCATAAAAATAAATGTGTCCAGAAATATTAGCATACCATCAGAAGTGTCTGTCTGTGGAGTGTATCCTTCTGAAAGGTTGAAGGTCCCATTATCAGTCCAGGATACCTCTGAGACGTCTGTGTCAGACACAGATAACTCTTTGGCAGCAACCGTGAGGCTAATCTGTATTAATATAAATAAATACCAGCGGCACATTTTAAACTGCTGAAGGGAATATTTTGAAAAATCCATACGAACCCCCAAAATGTCAGAGTAATAAAAACCAGATGGATATTTTTATTTTGAAATCATTCAGTCATCTTACAGAAATATGGGTTTATTAGGAAGATCATTCAGCTTTATATATGTAAATACATTTACAGTCAAACCACACAGGAACAAATTGAAAACTAAACAAAAAATACCTTAGGACAAAGAGCTGAAAAGTCTAATTCACTGTCATCTTTGTGACTTTTTTCTTTATCTGCTTCTGTTGAGAAAAAATTTGGAAGCTTTCAGTTTCCTAGCCAACTCAGATATAGTGCATTTATTTCATTATGTATTCTTACCCCACATTTCTCATATTCTCAAATACCTCCATATCATTAAATGTTTACACATAACAAGCTTCACATATTTGCAAAGGAAATGATCCACATTAGTGGTTCTCTTAATATTGTCCCTGAAACAGCAAAAGCATCCTCCCTGGGAACTTTTTAGAAATGCAGATTCTCAGGCCCTACCCTAGACCTACTGCATCAGAAACTTTGGGCTGGGGCCTAGCAACTCATCCTGTAATAAGCCCTCCACGTGACTCCGATACATGCTAGTTTTAGAACCTATAAGGTCTCAAGCCAAGTTAAAAAGTAAAAGATGATTATATTGGCTTTTCCTGTATTTTCTTTCCCTTCGCCTGTTTTTTCAATCCCTTCTTACACAACTTCCACACTCCTAGCACTGCTTGTGTAATTTTGTATTTGTGATAGTCTAACCCAAAATAAAACTAAGTAAATCATAAGTAGCACAATAAAAAGTGTTGCCTTTTCTTTCTCCCCTGACAGTGTGGATTAAAAAATCAATTTCTTTCATTGTATATTTGAGAAAAGAAGGAAAGCCTAAATAGGAAAAGGATATGTTTAACTTTGAGGGCGATTAGCTTCTATAATAATACTTAGTAAAAAGCTAAAAGTATCCTCAAATGTATTAAAGGAATTGCCTAAAAATAGCTCGCTAATGTCTCATTTCATGCATAGAATCTAAAATATAAACTTTACCTACCAGATCTCTCACGTTTCTTCTGATTAATATATTCTCCAATTCCAAAATCCAGTTTCAGCAGAACTGACTTAATTTTACTGTATATTTTTTGTCCAATATCATTACATTTAAACAATGGACACAAAAATGCACACAGTACTGAAAGAAGAAAGAGGGTAGAAGTAAAATGCCTTGCCTTTCAAAAGGCTACATACATTTCAGTATTTCACAAAATACTACATTTTTTTACTGAAAAACTTAAGTTTTTTTTTAAGGGAAATGCCTCTGTGAAATAAGTTCATAATTTCTATTCTTTTTCTGTAAGGTAAACATTTTCTACCACCACCCACACACACACACACACATGCATACCCACGCACACACAATGCTCACAGTCATTGTTTTCAGGTGCAATTAGATCAACTCTCTCCTTTCAATCCTTTTACTCTCAAAATTTATAGAAAAATTACATGCCTTCCAAACAACAGTCTTGGTTTAACTGTATTTATTCAACGCCATTTCACCATGGGAAAGTTATTAGCCTCTCATCAATAATATTAGGATAATAACCTTATTTCTTTGGGGTTGCTGTGAAGTATAAATGAGATCAATGCAAACCATCTGAATAATGCCTTGCCCAAATTATTCTTTCATTCCCCAGTCCTCTTCTCCTTTACCTGCTAAACAATGTAATGATGAGGCTAATGTTATATATGAGTTCTTTTGGGGAGAATGGATTTGAGCTCTGACCATTTGCCATTTGCATTATGCATTAAGAATACAAAAAGAAGCAAAGATTGTCACACTCTAAGTACTGTATTCCTAATATTTATTTCTTTGTTCTTTTTAGGAAGTATCCTATATTATATTTTTAAAATAGGAGCTACAAACTCAAATGTCTCTAGAGGCCAAGAAATTGTATGTAAATTTTAAAATCCATTGTAAGAAAAATTGGAAAATATGAGGGTATGTTAAGTGGAGAGTGCCTGCCCCATCGAAAGGTAGCAGTGCCAGATCATAGTTTTCAGGTAAAGGAGAAAATCCATACATTTTAATAACATTTTTGAGTGATCATTGGTGTATAATAAAATACATGTATTTAAAGTGTACAATTTGATAAATTTTGACATGGATACAACTAAGAAGCCATCACCATAATCAAGATAATGAACATGTCTACCACCCCCAGAAGTTTTCTCATGTTTTTATTCATCCGTCCCTCCAGTCTCCTACCTCTTCTCCCTGTCCCCACCCACCTCATCCCCAGGCAACCACTGCTCTGCTTTGTTACTAGATTGTTTGAATTTTCTAGGATAATATATAAATGGAATCATACTCTTTCATCTGGCTTCTTCTACTCCGTCTAATTATTTTGAGATTCATCTTTAGTGTTGTATGTATCAGTTTTTAGTGCTAAGTAGTAATCCATTATATGGATATACCACAGTTTGTTTACCCATTCATCCTATTGATGGATGTATGGATTATATTCTGCTTTTGGCTACTACAAATAAATCTGTTATGAACATTTGTGTCTTTGTACTTTCATTTCTCTTGGGTAAATACCTAGTTGTGGGATGGCTTTGTCATGTAGTAGTTTTTAAGAAACTGCCAAACTGTTATCCAAAGTGATTTTAACATTCTACCTACCCCGCAACAGTATGTGAGAATTCCACTTCCTCTGCATCCCTCCTAATACTTGATATGGTCAGTATTTTTAATTTTAGCCATTCTGGTAGGGATGCAATGGTATTTCATTGTGGTTTTAATTATTTTTTTGAGCCAAAGAATATGCACGAAGGCAAAGGTGTTGGTGTGTTTTTGGGAGGTGGGGCATACAGCTTTATTTATAGTTTTACTGACAAAATTTAACATAAAATTATTAACTTATAATTCTGCCTTTTGCAGCTATTCTTCCAATTTTAAAATAGAGACATGGCTCTAGGAAAATGGAGAAACTTTGTACAGCAGGAGAGTAAAGAATAATCAACTTGTATTATAGTTAAGAACTCATCCCCCTTCTTCAAACTACAGGTCTGTTGACCATAAAGTGATACCATATGCATCACAAAAATTAGCCACATGGTCTACTATACTTACACAGTAGATAGCTGAGTATAACCCCAGGAATGTAACTTCCCAAGATCGTAAAAAATGTGCACACACTACAGACCAGGAGACAAAACTGGAAATAACAGAAATAACATGGGATAGTTATACATAACACCAAGATATTTTGGAGCACAGGATACACACACAATTGTAAATCTTAAGTGACCAGTATAAGTGACCTATCCGGTTATTACAGATTTTTTTCCAAAGAGCATTGTTTTGCACTAAGGGCTGACTAATGACTGCTGCATTCAACCAGCCTTAGTCCATTTCAGCACTTGGTAATAATTATTTTGAGGACACAGGAGCTAATTTCTGGCACAGAGAGTGACAACTCCCATTACTCATGCCTGTGGCTATATTACTGCCAGGTGCAAGAGAACAAAAAACTATTATGTCCCCAGAAACAACTTCTACTTCACTCATTTAAGGAAATTAATGCGGCCTGATAACTACATCTGAAAGTTCAAACTACCACTATAAGCCCACTGAAATTCATAAAAACACAGCAAAACATGTTACAGAAATTAGAGGTATCTATACAAATCTAATGTAATTTACACAAATCTAATGTAATGTATAGCTGCTAAGCTGACAGGATAAATTTATGGCCATCACTATCATCTTTCCTAACCATATATACTGCTCAAATTGACCCCACTTCTAAGTCACTTAGAAACAAACTGCCATTTAAATGAAACTCCTACAGTGACATGTTTATTTTCCTTCTGTCATTTATGGTTAAAAAAATCTTGATTGTTTTAAGAAATTTAAAAACAATCAGAAAATATCCTTAATTCCCTTTAGGAACATCAAGGCAGAAAAATTTTCCCATAAAGTCTTCACCTGATTTTTCACACGCCAGTCTTAAACTGTCTTACATTTTTACATCATCTTTAAACAGTGATAGTAAATTAAACTGAAAAGCAAGCAAAGGAAATTCATTCAGGGAGTTTCTAAAAGACACAAGAGGAAGGAATACATACCTCTGACCAATAACTGATGATGATAAAGAGCAAAGGGGTCTAAATCTAAGTTGATTTTGATTTTTCATTCTTTAGTACAGAGTTAATAAATTAACTAGTCAAAAGCAGATTAGATGAATTGCGGAACAAAGCTAAGACCTGTTTCTAAAACAGCAAGGGCCCTGGAAAGAATTTGAAATTCTATAAATGAAATGGAAAGGCCATAAAGTCAAAGTAACAGATAAGCCAAGAAAAGTATTACTATATCGAGAATTTAGTTTTTCAAAGGGATTTCATATTATACCCTACATTTGCAGCATCATCATTTTAAGCTAATTGACTTGGGGCACATTAATGCAACCCAGTGCAGAAGTTTGAAGTTTAGAATCTTCCAAAAATACATTTAATCACTTCAGTAAAATCAACATCAACAGTACATCATTCCCCAAATACAGGTATCGATGCTTTAAAAAAAATAAAAAATAAAATAAAAAAGGCTTCAATGAATAAAAAAATGCATCCAAATGCAATACTGCCACTTTAATACACTCAAAAAGTCTCCAAGCATAGTTCTATTATTTAATACTATTGAAGTTATAATATTGCATACTATACAAGGTACAAAGACAGAGATTTTCAATGCTGACATTACTAGCTCTTCATTCTATCCACGGGTGGATATTCAAGAAACTTGAAAGCAACACTGGAATAGAAAAGGTCTATTGATGGTTCTGTACCTCACCCAAGCTATCAAGACAGTCGATCAGAATTAAAGCTGCCTCTACACATAAAATAATACAAATATGTGCGCCACTCCATGTAATCCCTTTCCAACCATGTAAGACACTTCCCCTCATGGGTTTTATCTTAATTGGAAAAATACTCATTTTGTTTATATAATCACTACGTTTTTGCCAAAAGTTTTCTTTCTTAAATAAATCATACAAGAACCTCCACTTTTTAGCTTGAAAATAAGATTCAGTTATCTTCAAAAGCACAGTCAAAGAACTATGTATTCATTTCATCTCCCTTTGACTTCAGCACCAGGCTAAATACGATAACTGAAATTCTTAAGACTTTGTTTTCTCCCTAGTCTTGCTGATAAGACCAATCACCATTCATTTTAGCTAATGAGCTAGATAAATATGTATAAAACGTAAAACCAATCCAATTTCAAAATGTGAGGCTGAGGATTATCTCGTGTTCACACACTCAGTTCTGAACCTTGCTGATGCCAGCTTTTATGGCATATGTTCTTAGTATATTACATTTAAAATTGGAGAAATCTGACAAGCTGATAAAATAGGTTAGTTCATTTGTTTCCAAGTAACTGAACATTTTAAAACATACTCCTTTATTGGAAAACTTGCCTTGCCAGGGCTCTGCTGTTTAAAAAGAGACATTTCTTGAAGAAATATGCTGAAATTCATCCATGATTCTGCAATACAGTGGCTAAGCCTGGGTCTTTCATCTGGTTTGGAATTGATAACTTCCCAGCTAAAGAGACAAAAAGAAAAAAATATTACCAAACTTTAGGTGATTCGTTCAACATTTATGGCTTTGGCAAATATTTATTGAGCATCTACTGTTGGCCACGCCCTCCGGAAAAGCCCTGTGAATTCAGAAGTGAACTAACCAGACACTTGCTTCAGGAAACTCATGCCAAAAGAAACAATTAGCTATCTAATTGTCTATTTACAACCAGGGAAACACTAAGGGAGAACAGGGTGAGGCTTAGGGACGTCCTTAATGAAGAGTCATTTTTAAACTCAAATATGAGATGGATCAGCAGTTTAATCATAGGGTTCCAGATAGAACAACATGCAGTATATGCAGAGGCCCTGGAGTGGGAAGGAGCTTAAATGTGCTATCCTATTGAGTCTCAACATGGCTCCAGCAAAGTCAACCAGAAGAAGAACATGTGAAGCTGGAGAGGTAGGAGGAGACTGGTCATGGAAGGCCTTGTAGGAACTTGTTAGAGAAACCTTGGAATTAAGCATATAATATTAAGAATAAGCACCAACAATGTATTTTCAATAAATATACAAATTATATACACACACACACATATACATATACATACATACATACCATGTACCATGGTTGGAAAACTCTATAGAAAATTGTTAAAAGGATCTTACAATATCCTCTATTTTTCCAGAGTACATTTTCCTAGTCATCATCTAGAATGTGTTGAGTGTGATGCATGGGCCGGCAAAGAGCTGTCTCCCTGCCCTCATTTTCCACAGGAACCTCAGTGAGCTAAAAACTAGAAGCAATCACTCCAGGAAGAAGACACATGTAAATACACGTCATTCCCTAACATTACAATGACATAAAGCTTAATTCCTGCTCTTGCAATCCTAACTCATAAAAACATACCAGTTCAAACGATCCCTGTTAAGGATCCTCAAATTCATTCATTTAAGAGATTATTAAGAGATAAGTGCCTACCATGTTGAAGGCACTGCCACAGAGCTATGGATATGGCAATAACAAAAGCAGCTAAGTTTCTAGCAGAAGACAAGGATTGTTAGTGAACTGTCATCTGAGCTATGGTAGAGTACTACGGTGAGGCTGATCTCTGGATTCAACTCCAGTAGCCCTAAGACAAGTCAAAACTACCTTCGCCCTTAGATGCTCAACTATACAGAAGCTTGTGTACATACAGATTCTGTGACTTTTAATGTATTTTGAATAGTAAAGCAATTTGTAAATTACAATTCCTTTTTATAAAAATAATTTTAATCCAAGTTTAAATGAGTGCAATAGCATTTTTTAAAAAGGGGAAGTATACCATTTTCCTTCCTCTTTGTTCTTTCAACCTCAACTAATGCTCTGAAGAGTCACTGAGCTACCAGTTGTCCTGGCTGATGTTATTCCTACAGGTAGATTTCCTGTCTGTCATAAGAAATGAACTTTTGGGCATGGTTTATGCATCTATTAACTCTACCCACTCTTGAATCACTGAGCAAATCTATTTTCACTGGGACCATATCTGGCACCAGGTTTGCATACCCCATGATTCCACATCTATTAAAATACTAAGTGCATAGCTAAGAAGCAGATATCTGTGGCAAAATCTTGCCAGGGCTCTGCTGTTTAAAAAGAGACATTTCTTGAAGAAATATGCTGAAATTCATCCATGATTCTGCAATACAGTGGCTGAGCCTGGGTCTTTCATCTGGTTTGGAACTGATAACTTCCCAGCTAAAGAGACAAAAAGAAAAAAATATATTAAATGTGGTCATCGGGGGGTGACTGTTAAATGGAGTGATTGCTTCTAGTTTTTAGGTCACTGAGGTTCCTGCGGAAAATGAGGGCAGGGAGAAAGCTTGTTGCTGGCCCATGCATCACACTCAACACTGAAGTGGTCTTAAAAATAAAAATATTAAATATAAAAAAAAGTGGCAAAATCTTGCCAAGATATCTGCTTAGTGGGAAAAGATTTTGCACCGAAGAGCAAAGGCTTTGTGGCAAAGGAAATGCAAGGTTATTAAAATGCAGTCTGTTTTCTCAGAACAATATAGATTTGCTGCAAATTGGCACAGACAGGCTAGGCTACTGTTCAGTTTAATGGGACCATGAAGATGACAGAAAACATTTTAATTTAGGCTCTCTATGCATACTGAACAGCTATTTAAGATTCATTTGAACTGTTTGCCAAATAAAATTCTAACAAAAATCAATGAAAAGCTATAATGGAAGGATTTGTTATTTTCTTTTAAAGATTAAGATGGAATAAATGAACAGATTAAGATGGAATAAACAATCTCCCACCTTGGCCTTCCAAAGTGCTGGGATTACAGGCATGAACCACTGTGCGAGGACAAAAAAATATTTTTTTGAATGAATGGTACTTTGTACAGATGCTGGAACTTTGTTCTAATATCATCTTTAGGATTCACGTCTTGGAAATGACACCATATCCATATTTGTTTATATATTTTTTATTATTGCTTAAGTAAATGTCCCCAAATTGTAAAAGAGCCTAGTATAATATTAAATTGCCACTATAGAGATAATGTTAGAACAAAGACTTCATCTAACTTAAGGTGTTTTATAGAGATTACAATGAAATAACTAAAAACTCTCTTTCGCATTTAAGGGTCTTATCTATTTTCCACAGTGGACTTCAAGTGGACACCATCTATCCATTAATTTATTCATTTATTCAATAAAAAGTTATTAAATTTCCCCTTTGTGTCTTGCATTACACTAAATGTGGAAAATACTGTTATTTCAAAAACTTGAATGCTGGTAGCACTATTCCTCTGTGTCTATAGGTAAACACTATTTGCTGGAAAGAAAGAAAAAAATAATCTTTGACTATCTTCCATACTCATAAGAAAACACTCTTAATTATATTACATTTTTCCCCTTTTAAAAAGCCTCACATAATCGTTTTTTGGGACAATAAATTTCATCATTACTTACATTTTTATTAGCACAATAAATTATAATTGATATTGAATTTTTATAATCACAAACAGAAAAGAGAACTTCACTGTGTACAACTTGAAAATAATATCTAACCAAATGGGTTTGTAAAGAGTAATAAGTGTTTGAGATTAAAAATAAATGTTCAGATTGTGCTGAATAAAATTTAATGGAAATATATATGATTTAAAAAGAAAATGTAAGTTCCAGGGTGAAGAAAAGATGTCACTCCGCATCTTTTCTTCTGGACCAAAAACAGATGCTCTCTGGGAGTTTAATAATAGTTTTAAATTGCCCAGTGATTAATTCTGAGTACCGTAGGAACTCACATTTCTATAGTCTTCCAGTGAGTTTACCATTAATTTATGTCACCACAGTTCAATTTAGGTTATATGGAATTAGATAATTTGGCATGAGATGGGACATTTGATGTCAACTTTTCAAATTCCCCTATTTTATAGGTGAGGAACGTGAAATCCAAGTTTTTGCAGCTAGTGTGAGGCAGAGCCAAGACCCAAGGCCAGGACTCTGGGTTTCCAATGCAGTTCTAATCCTTTAAAATGTGTGCCCTCTTTAAAGGTGAATACATTCAATGACATTCTTTGAAGAGACCACGTGGCAATTCAGAACGAGAAGGAACATTTCATGTTCCTCCCCACTCTTTCCTAGAATCAGAAGAGATGAGGTGTGATCGACCAATACCAACGTGCCATCATGCAGGAGCAACCCTTTCCAGGAAAACAGAGCACTTCATGTGCAGAACCCAAATACTCAGCAGAAACCAAGATCTATGCTTAGTGCTTGGTTGACGTTTAACACAGGTGTCATCTGCACACACACACATACACACGCTGAGTTGCTACGTAATGAAACTCTAGGTTTTCCTAGAGAGCCTTATTTGGAAAACACGTAACTAGAAAAAAGATCTCCTGTGAATGCTGGGCAAGGCTTGGGGAACAGATCTTTTCCATGGTGTGTGGCTGTCTTCCCACCATCCTTGGCACTGATCACCATGCAACATAAGGCCCAACTAACATAAAAGGAGATGAAAATACCTAAGGCTTCAAAACATTTTGAGTTTGTACTAAGTTCCTAACCAAACAATACAAGTCTTCTGTGACTGACGCTAAACTAAGGAAGAAAATTCATTACCAGTAGCTTTATTAATATTTCCTCCTTAGCTTCAGAGAGAACATGTACTTTCCAAGTTCAAAGAGAAATAGGTTCTTTGGTTCATCTTTCTATACATCTTCCCTCCCTCTCCCCAGTCTTCCAGCTGTCTCTCACACTCTTGCCTTCACTAAGGAGTGAACTCACCACACACTCCAGCCACAAGATAAAGACCATTTAAGAGTCACCCCTGATGACCATCATCCCCAACTTTCCATCCTCATAGCCAGTCCAGTTCAAGTAGTTCCCAGGGAGAAGTCACTACAAGTCCCAGCCTCTACTTGGCCATGCCATCTTTCAAATGGGCTTTGCTCAAGGATCTGTAACTGTAAACGATTCCCCAAAAAAGCCCCAGCAGATGCCATCTTGTTGAGTTTTCCTTCTTAACTAAAAACTAGTCAGGTGTTTTGATGAAGGCCATTCTGCAATCAAGCAATTCTTTATCAAGGAACCCTAAGCCAGGGCAAAGTGCTTTTTCAGCAGCTGAAGAATTTCTGGTTTTACCTGCCAGTGAAACTCTAAGGGAACAAAACATGGAAAGATGGCTCCTTGGACAAGCAGCCTCACTTTGTCCACAAAAAAAGGAGGTTTGGCTTCTCAGTAGAATTGCAAGCCAACATCCCTTCTTTCTTCCTCCCTGTCCCTATTAGAATACAATTTGTTATACACATTGCGTGGTCTGGCCAAATAAGCCCTTCGTGCAGTTCCTGAAGATGTAGTTGTGAGACACCCAGGGCACGGCTTAAGCAGCAGCTTTCTGGGCCTTACTGAAGAGACGGAGATGGAGCAGGCCTGGGGGAGGCTCAGAAATCTGCCTTTTAACAGGTGTCCCAGATGATGCTGAGGCAGGTGTTTCTTACCCTAAGAGTCACTGTGAGAAATATCCT